TGATACTTTATATTTTTCGAACAAAAGAATAAAAAATTGTTTTATTGGAAATAACGAGAAATATTCAACTAAAAATGTTCACAATTTTTAATTGCACTCGAAGAAAAAGCGAACGATGAAACAGCTAGCATTCGTGGTATTTCGAATTCGTCATAATTTCCATTTTCGCACAATAAACTGCGGGGGAAGCGACATACAAAGTTTCCTCTCGATGTTGACAATTATTCAACAAAAACCATCTGCGGACAATATTGGAGGCCGCGAAACTCTTGAATTTTGTCACCATTGCTATAGATTTTTCGATGATTGCCCCAATTTTTTTCAATTGAAACACAAATAGCTTGCAAGAAGAAGGCCACGCCCCCTTATCTTATTTTTGGGATTCAATTAGAATCGACACCTTATGAACAGGAATTGATTAATTTAAACTGAATTCCAAATTTCGCGACGGCAACCGGAAAACCGATTTTTCAAATTCGCGCCGTTCGAGCCCACCAAGTCTAAGCTGGAAAAGTTGAATGTGGTTTTAAAAAAATTTGGCATAAAATCGAAAATGTGTATAACCAAATGAAAACTGGTTGAAAAAACTTCCTTATATGGAAGAATGCATGATGAGAAGAAGCGAATTACACAAAAATGATCGTCTACTGGCAAATCGGGGCCAAATGATAAGAAGAACTGCTAGACAACAAATACTGATTGGATAACCATGTGTTGGTTCGGAACATCGCTGATATTGAAATCTCGACATATCAAATTTTCGATCTGCGGACAATTTCAAGAATTTCTATTTCGTCTTTTTCAAGAAAAAATGTATGATATTATTTGTTAAAAAAACATCGAACTCAATTTTTGTTTCGAGGAAAAATAAAAAAAAAATTTTTGCTGCCAACCTGTTCGGCTGGCAGGTTCTCGAATCCAGACGGTGTGTAAAGTTGAAAGACACAGAAATAACAACAACGAACAACACAAAAAAAAAGTGAGAGTAGAGAAAATAAATGAGATTGATGATGATAGGAAGAAAAAAAAATCATGGGCACACACACACACACACACACGGTATAGCAGCAGCAGCATCAGCATCCATCAGATCGACCGCGTTTGTCTTTTCGATTCTGGCTCATCTGCGTCTCTGATCAACGCGCATCCCGTTTCGCCTCGTCTCTACCAACCAACCAACCAAGCCCTCTCATCAGTCGTCGCCTGTTTTTATTCATTGTCTGTGCGCGCGCCAGCCGCCAAATTTGAATTCGCGCCCTCCATTTGCACACCTGATGGCTACCAGTAAAATTGACGACGAATTTGAATGGATGCGATGTTGTTGCTTTAAGAAGCTTGAATCGAAATGGACCTTCTTAGAGGGCTTTTTTTTTTGAAATTTTAGAGTCCAAGAAAGCGGAAAAGGAATTTCGCTTCAAGAGGTTCAGCGAATGCGCCTTTAATTATCAAATGCTATTATTCAAATTTAAGATTTTCTATCGTGATTTTAAACCACCAAAATTTATGAGGAAATACAATGCGAAATTATTACAAAAAAACGCGCAGCGCTGATTCACAATGAGTTTGATTCGCAGGTTATCCAGAGTACGGTATCCGAATTTCCAAAGTTTAAATTCGATTTTGAATTGCCGCCTCGAAAAAAGTGCGATGGTCCACAATTGAGCAAAGCGCTCATTTTAATTGCAAAAACAATTAAATTAAAAAAACGTGTTGGGTTTTGAAACGAATAATTTAATAACAGGCTATTTCTTTCAAAAACTGAAACTTGTGAAGCCTCAATGAATTTCTTCGAATCCATAAATGGATTGATGTGAAGCCCCGTTTTTTTTGGAATTGATAAGAATAACAATTATTGAAATGCAGTGTTTCAACTTAATCTCGACAATTGAAAAAAAAATCGATCTCTCAACTTTTGATTCTTCAATGAAATCGAATTATCGGCGATTTGAGATCTCAAGATTCGATGCGATTAGAATACAGTGTGAATCGGTTCGAGACCAAAAAATGAATAATTGATAATAAGAGAGGGTGTCAAACTACGGAGAATGCATCACAAAAAATAGAGAATCGACAATGAGAGAAGAACACGCGAAAAATGAAATATTGATGCACAAAAAATGATGTGCACCGTTTTCGGCTCATCAATTTTTCATTCTCTTCGGTTTTGCAACAATACAAAACATTTTCGAAACCAAAAGGGACCTCTTTTCGAATCGCATTTAATTCGAATTTCCTCCTCAGACAAATGTAAATTGTTTGTTTCGAATTATTTTAAAATTTCAATCCGATTTCAAAATTGAGAATGAGTAAATCAATCGATTTCGAAGATTTTTAAATCGAAACCAACATTTCAAATCGAATTTGAATTATTTTTCAATCGAAACAGGTTAATTATATTTAATTTTTCCTCGAATCCGGTTGATTTTCATTTAAGTCGCAAATTTTGTGTTCCTTATTTGAAGAATTTGGAATCTGACCTTGAAATTCTTTTTCGTTCGCTTTATTTTCTTCGGCAAGATCAAATAATTTTTACTTTTCATGTGCAAAGAATTCAAGAAATAATTTTTGTAAAAAAAATGTAATTTTTAATATTTTTACTTTTCAATGCTTTCAGATGGAATTTGATATTTATAGTGATCGGTGAGAAAATAAAAAAAAAAAACTATAGAATGCATTAAAGACAAAAAAATTCAAATTCTGTTCTGAACCTGTCGACTCATTGCGGGGCCGGGAAAAAACTAGGCCATCAAAATAAATATTATTTAAAACTCCGGAAACGGAAAAATATGTAAAAAAAAATATTCTTAATTTTTTTATTTATATTTTTCCTCAAATATAAAATGATGAATGTGAGAACGGCCCTTGTAATTTTTTTGTGAAACTTATTCATATCAGGGGTCGTTTTTCTTTTTAAATAGAAAAAAAGTCTATAAATCGGTAGCATTTTTACAAAATACAATAAATTCGAAAGCTGTCACTGAATGTTATTTTTCCACAGAAAAAAATTAGCGTCCCGATAAATTCAAGAAAATAATATGCTGCCTTTACTTGGAAAAAAAATAATTTACTAAATTTGAATAAAAACTGAATGTCGACCGGTTTTCGGCTCGACCGCGAATGTGATAAGTTGAAAAGATTCATGCAAAACGGTTCGCCGCAACTCACGGCCTAGGAAAACGCTCTTCAAAAATTTGGTTCGGCCACGGCCACACTTTATGAATTAGTTCATTTAATTATGTAGAACTAAATGAATTCGTATATATTTTGAAAGTTTACGATTTTGAAAACCAAATATCAAAATAAAAGTCGCATTTTCGCAATAAAAATAAAAGAAAAGCGGGACCGACTAAGAATTATATAAAATTTTGAAAATTTGCCCGCGATAGTGTGCCGCACTTGCCTTTTTTGTTCAGAATTTGCATTTTCAATTTTTGAAATTATGTATCAACCAATTTTTCTAGGCCACACTAGAGTTGCGGTGGCAATAAAAAGATATGAAATATTACAAATGTTTCCAGGGAATTTTTCAAAATCGGTTTTTCGAAAAATCGGCAATCGGTGTAGATCTACGAATTTGTAAGTGTATTATGAAGATTTTGAAAAAAAAACTTCTAAAAATCGCAATGTTCGAAGACGTGGCCGCGGCCGAGTTTTTCGTTGTTTTTTTCTTCTATCTCTATAGCAATTGTTAAGGTTTTTTGCCAAACGGTACCATAAATTAATGTGGTGGATAAATATTAATTGCGCGTACGCTAAAATGCAGAATACGCAAACACACGCACCTCTTTTTAGCGGGTTCTACAAAAACTGCGCAAATTTTGGAATTCATATTTTCTATGCGAGACCCAAACGCAAACATGTGAATCGAATGGGTTATTCGAAACTAGAATGCGTCGCTTAATCTGCGAATAATTAATATATTCATGCGATTTTCGAATAATCCCGAAATACTCGCTTGGAGTGAAATGTAGCGGGTCTCACAACGACGATCCTCATGGATACCGTGACTATATTTTGACTATATTTAGGTGAATTTTTCTTTGCTCCAAAACTGATGAATGATAATGAAAAGAAGAAGGGACCACAAAGTATAAAGTTTGAAATTTCACAACAAACAGTCCATTCGGTGACAGCATACAAATAGCGATGAATCATTCGAAAATTGGCGTCAAATATCCATTAATGGTGGCCAAAATTGTACGAATTATACAGTTACGACACAATTGATTCTATCCGGTTTTTAGGGGAACACGAGAAAAAAATGTCGGTGTGGACTCAGTCATCGAGAGGTGATTTTATTATATAGATATATGTAGTTGGATGGATCCATTCGGATCATTCGAAAACTAAAAATTGATTTCCATTTGTTCGCTTCAAGACTCAAACAAGTTCTTTTTGAGAGAAAATTTCGATTTTCCAGAATTCGATGAAATGGTTCATACACGGTCACGCAAAATTGCACACATTTATTGAGAACGCATTTTATTGTGCAACAAAATGGCGGCTATCAGAATTTTTCGCGGTAAGACCTTGTATGAAAAAAGGGCGAGCGTCGTGACAAATTGTGGACCATCGCACTTCTTTGTGGCGGTAATTCAAATTATATATGTGAAAAAAAAACACCAGCACCCCGTGTCGATTTTTCGATAAATCACATCGGAAGTGTCACCAATGAGTCAGAGCACCATTCCCATACTGAAATTGTGTTGAAAATATATTTTTTTCAACTTTGAAATAATTATATATTTCAACTTTGAAATAATTTTATCGCAAATAGTTTGATGGTAGTGGCAGCATCAAATTGGAGATTTGCGAAAATGTGAACATATAAGAAATTGGCTGTTAGAAGAATAAACATAAAATCTGAAAAAAAAAAATAATTTTTTGGTACCACGGAAATCACGTCGAAAATGATACGCTCTTACCATAATTAGTATTAAACATAATTGGCAACAAGAATGTCAATTAAATAATAATTGCGACTCAGAATATTTATAAATTTAGAGCTTTTTGAAATGCTGCGCCCATTGCTCATCGAGCAACTTCGAATAGACTTGAAAGCCGCGTCGTCCTCTCGACGGCACCTTCACCATTTTTGCGGCGTGTTGAATGCGCAATTTTCGATTTCTCGACATGAACCAAATCGAAATGATCGAGACGAGAAGCCCGATAACAGGAGAAAGCTTGATGGGCAAAATTTGGAAATATTTGGAAAACCAAAAAACGGCAAAACTCACGAATAATGCGCTTCTGAGGAAGAATGCAAATTGAATATTATCGGTTGAGATGCTCAATTCGAAGTTATTCAATATCCAAGGAACACTAGAAGCAAGCAATGCTAATAGTAGATTCACTGTTAGAATTTGGGTAACAAATCTCTCTGTTGTCATATTCTCCATGATTTGATATCTGCTTGACAAATTGAATCCGATTCTGTAAAATGTTGCGTTTTGAAGCAATCGCAATTGGACTCGCTTCTTTCGAAGTTTGCGATTGTAGCAATGAGTATAGAGTAACACAATGAAATCAGTGGCCAGCAGAATTATTGAGCCCATCAGATTAATGCTGAATCGCTCAACGACACCACCGGGAATCGATAAGATTGTAATAGCTGGCTGATTGAAATCAGCGTTCTGATAGATCCAAAAAATTAAAATGCACGGTAGGACGACGGCCTAGAATTGGTTAAGGGTTTGAATGAAGTGTGAGCACGAGTTTGATATACAAAGAATAAGGAGAATGTCAAATAACTTTTTGAGTGGTAGCTTTCGTATTTATCGTATTTCAGAGTGGCTATGAGGCGTTCCATAACCAATGCTGTCTAAAAATGTGCAAATTGTTTATTGAGGTCCTGCCAGGGTTGCTCGTTGCCTGAGAGAACAGTCCCATGGACAAACAGCAAGCATACGGTATGTGCAAAATGATATAAGGCATTTTTGGAGAGATGATGTCGCAAGGCTTTTCGAAATTGATTACTCTTTGATAATAGGTTAGCTTTAAAAAGTTTTGTTAGAAATATAGTTGGGGTCCTGCGACTACTGTAGATTTACGGGGTGCGCCTTTAACAGGCTTGTTTTTTTTTGTCGTAGCCGTGCCAAAGCCGAACATTTAAATGCACGACCGGCCGCATTGCGTATGCGTTGCGGTCGGCGTCACTCGATTTCATTTTTAATTTTTCGTATAATTTTTTTTGTTTTTTGTATAAATAAATAATAAAATACATTTTTTTCTGTGCATAATTTTTTATATTCATTTTTTATCTCACTCAGCTGCAATCGAACTCGTCGAAATACAACTGGGCCGTAATAGAACTCGGTTCTCAATAGAGCGCAATTGCATCATTGTTTTGCTTGATGGAAAACCACTCAATGCCTCCATACATTTTCTTAAATCGCATGCGGTAGCCATCAATTTCTAAATGTTTTCTTTCTGGCCCACACGACATATTTTGTTCCAAAATAACTGCAAAATATACAAAATTGCAAAAAAAATTGCGAAGAAAAAAGGTTACAAGTCCTTCAAACAAAACAACGATGCCATTGCGCTCTATTGAGAACCGAGGTCCTATTACGGCCCAATTCTATTACGGCGAGTTCCACTCTGGGGTTCCGCGACCCGCCAACGATACTCCAAGTTTACAGCGAGACCTTTGTTTAGCGTAATAAGAATTTCGAATTGCATTATTTTGAATAGAATTAATTGTTCTTCGAACACAAATTGCTCAGAAGTTTTGAAATAAAATTTCTTTCTTTAAAAATCTATTAGCGGATCGGTAAAATTCTCACCCTGACCCGCCCGTTGCAAGTAGGGGTACCACCATTTTTTCTAGATAATGAGAGCAAGACTTACGAACACAACCAATTTTATGCCTATCAAAAGAACTACTAACTGACTACGACGAAATCGGAAAAGTTGTGGCCGAAAAAAAAGCAGTGTACACCGCGTTATATGTTTTTTTTTGTTGTTACACTATTTCAGGTTTTTATTTATAGAGTTTCAGATTGCGAAAAAAAATTTAGCGTGAGCTCCGTCGAAAGATTGTTGTCGATCATAAAAATATACAAACCCACAAGCGATATCGTTTGGATCCGGATTTTGCGGAAAACAATTGTGTTGTTAGCGAAACCGAAAAGACGATGAGTTTGTTGAAATAATATAACTTTACTTCGACTTTTTTAAATTAAATACTTATTTAAAAACCTAACATAATCGAGAAATTTGAATACGGAAGACTTTTCATATTTGATTAAGCTTAAATATTGTGATTTAATATACCGAATGTTGGTAAAATTGTTCGGCCCGGCCGATAAAAACGAAAAGCCTGGATAATTGTTAGTTTTTGAATAAAATTTAAAATTCCAAAAAGCAGCAAACTCATAAAGTAAAAATAAATAATTCCCATGAAAACGGCTATGAATGAATACGTGGCGAGACCACTTCGAAAGGCGGTCCTCGTAAATCTACACGCGGTCACCGGACGCCAATTATGATATGGCTTTCGGTATTATTCTTACGATATTGAAAACATAGAAATATTCTTGGGCGAATATAACAATGAAGTAGATGTTGACCAACTCTTTGAAGCTTTGATGAAGTGTCGATTTCCAAATATAGACTTTTAGAAAATAAATTATCAAAACAATTGTGACGATTGCAAATAGGGTGTAGACGATGAATAGAATTTGCAATGGTTTATAGAATGCGATTTTGACGAACTGAAATTTTTGACATATGTGGAGGCTTAATAATATGTATATATTGTTGGACAATGGCGAAAAAACGAGCATCTTGAGTAATTGTGGACCATCGCACTTTTTGTGGCGGGAATTCAAATTTCGATTTAAACTGTTGGCAATTCAAATAGGGGCAAGATTTTGTGAAATTACTTAGTCTCTCATAATTTTTTTTGGCATTGAGCCAATTTTTTAAAATTCGTAATATGAGAATTAAAATATTGGAATTTTTATTAGGCGGAAATTCAAATTTGAATTTAAGCACTGGGAATTCTGGAACAGCAAATCGAAGGTGCTCGCTTTTGTTTTGACTGTAATACCACTTTGTGTATTACGGTAATTTGGCTCGGTGTACTGCGTACCAAAACGCAGGATCTCACGACATTTGAAAGCATTCGCCATTTTCCAAACAACATTTAATTAAACCTTTTCGCAAATTCCATTCGGATCCATGGTGTTTGGTGGCGACGAGAAATAATAATCACATTTTCGAGATAAATCGCTTAATTATGATATTTTGAATAACGCATATGACTCAATTCGAATTCATTTTGTGTACTTCATCGAGCAATTAACAAGATTTCCACGTATTTTGCAATTACGAGAACAATTAAAAAATGATAATTATTGGGAAAAAAATTAAACATGTAGATTTACGAGCTTAAAGGCGCAGACATCTCCTCTCAATAAAAGTTAATTATTTGAAAATATTTTTTTTTTGATATTTCAAAAAAATAGAAACTCAATGAAATGCCCAAAATAATTCGATTTATGAAAAATGCTGATTCCATTGTTTGTCCAAAACATCCGAATAAGCTTGAAATCCCTCGTTGCCTTTTGCTGGTATTCTAATGATGTTTTCAATCTTTTGAATACGTCGTTTGTGATTCATCGAACAATGACGAATTGCGATAATTGCGACCAAGAAACCATTTAGTGGGGGCAACTGCAATATACATATATGAATATATATATATAATGAGAATAAAAAATAGATTAAAGGGCATTATGACTCACATATACAAGGTTTCTGAAGAATGCAAAAAATGATTGATTGATTTGAAATAGTTGAAAATCGAAGTTCATTAATAGCCATGGTGCTTGAGAGTATCGATGTGGTTAGATTGATGACGAAAATTTTTGTGGTGAATCCCTCGGTGGCAATGTTCTCATTGATTTGAAATCTGCTCGACAAATTGAAATCGTTCCTAAAATTTCGAGATCGCTTCGATATTCCAACAATCCGAGAGCCGCACACCTTTTTTTGAGTTTCTCGTTTATCAATCTGGCGGTTAGTAGTACGAGTAGATCAAAACTCGATAGGATTATGTGGAACATTAGATTAATGCTGATTCGGCTCATCACGCCGGTTGGCAATGTTTGGGCGGTAATTCGAATAATACCGCAATTGCCATAACGATTTTTATATTCCAATTCTCATATTTATTATATTTCAGTGTTGCCAGTAAGCGTTCGAAACACAAAATTGTCTGAAAATTAGGCGAACCATTGCCCACCATTTGTTCGCCATTTACCATTGTAAAAACACCAACTGAAGCGCTGTAGCTTAATGGAATATGAAGAATAGTTCGAGGTACGATTCCGAGAATAATATCGCATTTATTCGTCGACGCTTGAACGAGATTCTTGAGGAACACCGCCTTCAATATTTGAATTCTCTCAGGGCTCTTCAAATATTTTTTTTTTGGTGCTCTTACAAAGCTCATTGTATAGCAGAATTGGTGTTGGATAATATTTGTAAAATAGATGGCTATGAAAATCTTGAAACTCTGATGGAATGCCGACATCCATATATAGGTTTTTATAAAGTAGATTGATAGAAATAATGAGATAATTGCCAGAATTGTGTAAAATGCTAGAATTAGTTGAAGCGGCCAGTATTTGGCGATTTCGAGAAGCTGAAATTGAGCGATTTGAGCGAAAAAGAAGTCTTTTGAAAATTGAAGAGAAACCTCGAGACAGATGTCCGACATATCAGCGTATCCTCAATGATTTTCATTAATTACTTTGATAAAAATAATAATTTAATAATAAGTATGATTCATTTTTCGAAACGCTCATTCCACTGATGATTTAAATATTTCGAATAGGCTTCGAGACCTTCGACTCCCTTAGCCGGAAGTTGTACGATGCTCGCTGATTTTTGATTTCGACGCTCTCGTCGTTTTGCGCATTGAATTATCGAGATGATTGAGACGAAAAAGCCATTGAAAGGGGTTAGCTGCAAATTCGAATTTCTTTTTCAAAAATGTTCTAATCGCTCACATAGAACAAATTTCGGCAGAATGCGATAAATGGAGTGTTGGATTCGTATTGGAGATGGAATAGGATCCACGATGATCCAGTAGTTATCATTGAGGAAATGAGATTAATTGCAAGAATCTGGGTGATGAAGCCTTCAGTGACAAGGTTTTCTCGGATTTGAAATCGGCCGGATAAATGCGATCCGATCCTATAACACATTTCTAGATGGTCTCGGGAAGAAATCGCGATTTTTTCAAAGAGAATCAATTACTGTAGATGTTTAAAGGTACATATTCGAATAACATCAGTTCATGTTGAATAAGGTGGGGCTTCATCAGATTTATTGTAAAAAAAGCAAACAGAAGAAATTCGACTTATGAATTTGAATTTTGATACCCTTAATCATAATATTACCTCATAATTTTAATCCCCCGTTGCTAGTAATTAGTGGGGTTCAATGGTGTATTATTTCCAGTCCGCGGCTGCTCTAAGACTTGAACCCCCACGCCAGTGTGGGTTGTGTTGGGGAGCATGTTGCCCTTGCGTTTTTCGTCGGACGTTGCTAGAACGAGTCGAGCATAATTTGTCGACGTGAGACAAAAAAGAACGAGTGAAACGGCTCCATCGAAAAACGCGTCCCGTTTTGCCCACGCGGTTACGGTAGCAGTAGGTTGAGTGTGCGCGGCGGCTCCGCTGGGGGCGATTTACGCGGCGCATCGTGAGCGGGTAAAATTCGCAAGATTTTCAACAGATTATGCTATTGTTTTTTTCATTTTTTTTGCAATGGATCTCATTAAAACCTATAAAAATAGAAAAAATTAACGGATCTCTTCCGTTTTCATTTTTTTTAAATTTTGTTCTGCCTTGATGTTTAAAGGGGGGGGGGGGTTTTTTAACAATTTCTTTCCTTTTTTCTGCTTCGAAATTTTTCTTCATTTTTGTTTTTAATTGTTCTCTGCAATTCAATTTAACGAAAATCCATTTTTCGAATTTTTTTCCGCCTATTCTTCGATCTCACCTATTATTCAGTCTCTGATTCTTAACACGAAGTTAAAGAACAAGTATTAAATCGACAAGAGAAATGAATAATGATGATGTTAATATGAGGCGAGATGCCCCATTCTCGCATGTCGCGAATATGATCGAAGCGACTACCGAACTCGCGAAATTACAGTCTTTGTAATAGAATAGTAGCACTAGGCATGGCAGAAGCACCATCTGAAATTGAAAATGTGCGCTCAAAATGCTGCTCCGAAATCTGATGACCATTACTATTATTACTGAAGTTTTTATCAATGATTTTGGGCTGTAATTTTCGTATTTCTCGTATTTGATAGTGGCCGCCAGACGCTCCAAGACCAGAGATGTCTGGAAGAAGGGGTGTGGGCTCTAGAGTGCCGGATTACCTGCGAGAATATGCTCATTATTAAGGTGCAAGTCAGAGGAATATGAGAGAGCTTATATGGAATTTCGGACATCATAATATCACAAGGATTATTGAAGGAAATGATCCTTTTGAATAGTAATATCTTAATGTAGTTTTTTTTTTTGAAATTTTAATTATTGATAATTACAAATCCAATAATGTAGAAAAACTCGTGCATGAAAATGGTGAAAAAATAAAAATTGACAAGAGCCTGCAAATTGGTGACGCGACGTCGACGCGAATTTGAGAATACCTTGAAACTGGGATGGAACGTCGATTTCTGAATGACGACTTTTAGAAAATAGATAATTAGAATTAGAGTGATGAACGCCAGCGATGCGTAGAGGAATTGAACCGCCCGAAACGGCGGATAGAAGGCAATCTCGACGAACTGCAATCAACAATTTTTTGGAAGCGAAATAAGCGCTTAGCGAATTACGATTTTGCATAGTGTGGTGTTCATTTGAATCGGCTGATTTAATTGGTGGTTTCATCCAAAATCATCAATTTTTGAATGATTCAGGTGTTTTGAACATCAGACAAGAAAAAGACACTCGTCGAGCTATGTTCTTTGAAATTTCAGAGATGCACGTCAAACGAATCCACGAGAATACCACATGAAATTCTTAGAATTCATTCAATACTTATAATTATGACCAACTTTTTTTATACATGCGCATTTTTTTATGTGAAAAAAAGTTTTTTTCTCGGAATTCTATATAAACTTTTAGTTTGTTAGACAGACAGAGGGGAATTAGAAAATCAGAATTGGTCTCACCAATAATTTACGCTTTGTGGGCATTTCAAATATGTGCAAAACTACCAATGATTTCAGATTTTTTGCTGTAATCAGCTGCTTGCAACAAAAATTCATTGAATCATCGGAACCAGACGCGGCCGCCTGCCCCGCGGCCGCGAAATGTTCGGTCATGGCACATTTCACGTCCGCTTTTTTTTTTTTAGAGATTTTTTAGAGATTTAAAAACACAATAAAAAATATATGAAAAAGCAATTAAATTAATTAAATTTTCAGAGGAAAATTGCGAAGAATATCACCACTGATGAATTCGAAAGTTCTTTTTCAAGGCGGCAATTCAAATTTGAAATTAAACATTGCGAATTCGGGTTCCTTCGAATCATACTTGCAGTGAATCGGAGCAGGGTGCTCGTTTTTTGAAAATGTCCTATAGTCGGCTTCCGGCGACTGTTGTAGATTTACGCGCATGCGCCTAGTAAAGGTCTCGACACACGTGAACGCTTATTTTGCTGTTTTCACGCGAACTGCTTCATTTATCTTGATGAGTTTCTCATTTCCTTAAATTTTCAACGTAAATCGATTAAAAAATTATTTAATCGGTCCATAAAATTTGAAATTACCTGTTAGTCCATGCGAGACCATTTCAAAAGACGCATTCCCGTAAATCTACCCGCGTACAGCAGTCGCCGGACGCCGACTATACATACACATGCTTCATAAGAACTCATCAGGAATGTTTCTGGATTCGTTGTGGCTGAATTGTGACCCTGTGTTAAGGGTTGAAAAATCCTAAACGTGTTATTGTACACCGTGGTGGTCAAGTTTGCCTCTCCTCTCTCTCCCATTTAAGCCCGCCAAAAAGGCATTTGCAGTTTTAGACCAAATACATTCTCAATTGGTTGCATCGCTATTCCTTAATTTATTTGTATCAGTTTGTTGGGCACCTGAGAGGTGACCCATTTGGCTACTTATTTTTGTTGTAAAGTGGGTTTAATTACCCAAGTTGGATAAGAACTCGTCTCAACCCTGAGCACGAAGTCCTGTGATAAATATGAATGTGTTTTATATACAAACCTAACGGTTGCAAGATACCAATGTTTTAATTCTCAAAGTTGAACAGTATTTTCGATATCATTTGGCCAATTTTGCGGATATTATTATGAAAATAGGTACACTTGAATTAATTAGCCCTGAATTCAATTGTGAAAAAAGAATTGAAAATGTTTTAAAATTGACAAAGTTACACCCAAAAACAGGTGTGACTTTATAGATGTGAAACGCACTGTAGTTTCGGGATCGAACAATCAATATTCGACAGATTTACTGTATATTCCATCACTTTTTTATTGCAATTTCTCGGAAAGAAAATCCACGACAAAAGGTTTTTTGTCGAATTTCGTGAACGACCATTTGATTTGGGTATTCTAGAAGAACGAAAACGTCTCGTGAATTATACACTTTTTTATCAGCGACCAAAAAAAAAAAGAAATTAATATTATTGCAGATGTATTCCTTCGCATCAAAAAAACCGCAGATTCACCTGAAAAGACATTCGGTAGAATGTGTTCGTGACACATAAAGGACCACCACACCGCGTTTTCTGCGCTTGCTGCCCATTCGATTTTATTGGAGGTGCGTTCGCTACGAATCTTCTAGAAATGCCAATTTTTTTTTGAAATATTTCCTTCCACACTGAATATTTGAATTATTTTTGAAATAGTTAGCCGCGATCTTGAAGATTTCAAAAAAAAAAAGAAGTGTGAGCTTCTGCTCTCTTTCGGTCTCAATTTTGCAAAAAAAACCAAATTCGAAGAACATCGAATTCACTGTTTCAATAATGGTTTAAATACGTAATTCAGTTTTAGAAATGTTTGCGAACTTTCGGCAAAAGTGTTGATATGCGGGGCGACGGGTCTCGTGTGGAAATTTGAAAAAAGAAATGCAACCGGTTGATTTTTGTGTTTCTCCTTTTGAAATCATTTCTTTGCGATGTGACATAAACGTCGAAAAACCACGACGATTTGAAACACGCATGTGAGCGCTCTTTGGGTTGCGGAGGAAGCTGTCGTAAAATTCAAAAGCCCGCCGAGCCTGGGTTGTTCCCGCGTTCCTCCCACGAAAATTCGCATCGATTTTCCAATTTTGGTCATAACGACCAACATTAGTGCTCGTTATTTTTTTGCTTCTCGTCCTTCATTATTTTCCTACTCGCTGCCGTTTTTTTTCTTTTTGATGTTCATCCATTTTGTGTGTGTGTGTTTTATTTTTAGTAAAATGAGAAGACGAGTACGTTACGCGCGAAACATCTCATTTTCCACACCCTTCACTACTAGATTATTATTTTTCGTTTCCTTTTATTTTAATTGTTTGCGTCAGAATGCGCCTCGTTATCATAATGCGCCTTAAACACAAATATTCCAAACACTCTTATCATTCGCACATGTGCGGCGGCGCCGTCGCTCACAATTTTCAGTTTTTGAGGTATCGCTGCTTTTGACATTTTTTTCATTGCTAGCTGAGATGAATAAATTAGCGCACTTTTGTTGGACGCAAGTACGCTCATTCATTTTCATCAAACGTTTTCTGTTCTAATTCTCAAAGTTGCACTTTTGCCAATAGCAAAAAAATGAAATTTTATGCATATGCTACTGTACACCACAAAAGTCCGCAATACGTACATAACAATTACCGTAACACATAGAATTGAAAAAAGTTTTCTTTTTCTCTTCGGTAAACTTATCGAGCGAAATCGTGGCAAATTTGCAAATTTTGGGGGAAACTGTGTTGAAAAAAAATTTTAAAAAATTGTTTTCTTTCCTCCAAGCAACGAAACAGTGAAACCAGCGCGTTTCGTCCGATGAGTTTGCCGAGTTGTCACTTTTACCTCCAATAAATCGCGCCCAAAGCGCTACGAAAATCAATTGATGAAATAAACAGGTGCAATACTCTCAACTTCGTCTCTTCCTCAATCATCCAGTTGCACTTTTTCCGCGGCATCTGTGAAATTTCCAAGATTTCAGTGAAAAACATGGCATTCGACTTGAAGCAACAACTCGAACTCCAGGATTATTTGGGCGTTCTCGCTGTCTGGTAAGATTTCTGCTATTTTTCATCTCTAAAAAAATGAAATTAATTAAATTTAGGTGTATTTTCTTCGCAATTCTCTTCATACTCAGTGTGATAATCAATTTCACGTGCATCTACGAGAAGGACGATGTGACAGCGCTCGAACGGGTCAGTTTAATTTCGAACTCCGATTTTTGTGTAACATTCGAATAATCACGTCAATTTATTCTATTTAATTTCGAGCTATTATCATTTTATTATAAGTCTGAAATTTTTTCAGTGGGGCTACAAAAAACGCATCGGAATGCACCTCGGACCACATCGCGAATCGGTCATCGGTCGCCAGATGCCAACCAACATTCGTAGGGACTAATTCGTTGCGTTTCTTTTTAATATTCATTCTGTTAACCATATATAAATTACTAAAAAACGGAGAACATTTTTGACGAGAATATCGGAAAAAAAGTGAAATGCAATAATCGAAAATAATTATTCCATTTATGGGGTGATGCGTTTTGGATCGCGAGGGAACATCGAGGCAAGACGAATATTGTGAAGGCCGAGGAACAGCATAGTAACACGTTCGAGACCTGGAATTTCAATGTAAGATTCCGAAAAGAAGCAAATCATACCAATTCCACCACCGGCATGAGGTGGGCATCCATATTTGAAAGCATCGATGTAGGCTTGGATCTTGGCCAAGTCGACACCATGATGCTTAGCGCGTTCGGTGAGCATTTCCGGATCATGGATACGCTGAGCTCCCGACAAAATTTCCTCCCCTAGAATATTGCAAAATTACCGTTTCATCTCTTGTATGTATATTTTTTAAGTTGGCCTCCACGAACCTCTCATGAACATATCGTAGCTGTTCGAGTATTTCGGGTCATTCGCATCCGGCATCGTGTAGAACGGACGAACCGCCAATGGGAATTTGTCAAGCACATAAAAATCGGTCTTGTATTTCTCCTTTACCAATTTTCCGAGCAACTTCTCGACCGGCGTGCTCAAATCGTCCTCGTCGCCAATTTCGACTCCATTTTCGCGAAGAATCGCGATCGCTTCTGGATATCTGAAAAAAACCACACACAGATTAGAGTAGATCGTTGATTCATGGCAGTTTTACTTCAAGATCAATGGCTTCTCGAGGAATTGGAATGGTTCGCTTGGATATTGCCGTCCAACAGCCGATATCTCGTCCTGGAAGTTTTGCTGGAGTCCCTTGAACAAGGAAGTCAGAACGTCAGCGATAGTCTCCATAACCTGCAAAAAGGATTCCTCATTTCAATGACAATCAAATTTTAAGCACCTCGTGATAATGGAAATTGAATGCCATTTCCAGATCGAGGCCAACAAATTCAGTCATATGACGATGAGTGTTCGAATCCTCGGCACGGAACACTGGTCCAATCGTGTAGACCTTTTCGAAATCGCCGGCGATCGCCATTTGCTTGTAAAGTTGCGGGGATTGAGCAAGATAAGCGGATCCTTTGAAGTAAGTGACCTGAAAACATTTGACGGGGTTTTCAATAATTGATTGGGACAGAATATGACCTCAAACACGTTGGCGCCACCCTCACTCGGAGCCGAGATGATCTTCGGGGTCATGATTTCGACAAATCCGCGAGAATCAAGAATGTTTCTGAACTGGTTGCAAACGCCCGCTTGAATGCGGAAAACGGCTTGCGAGGTGGCGGTGCGAAGATCGAGAATTCTGTGAAACAAATAATCAACATCATAAAAAATTTCTCGAAACCTACCTATTGTCCAATCTCGTGTCCAAATTGACCACCGCCAATTTGTTCTCCTTATCGTTGGCCTTCTCCTCGTCAGTTGGCGCTTTTCTCGACGCATCCTCGATTTGAAGTGGAAGTTTCGGTGCCGATGAGGAGACGACGAAGACTTGGTTGGCAAGAAGCTCAACATCTTGTTGCGTGCACGACTCAACAGCGTTTTCCACTTTGTTCACAACCGCGTGCACATCAATAATCGATTCCTACCAAATTAGGAATTTGGATCAGTTTCTTCATAAATAATATACTTACTTTGGAAATTGAGGCGACAAATTTAAGCATTTGTTTGCTGATCTTTTCGTTCATGAACATGGCGACCTGAACGGTGTAGACACCTTGGCGAAGAACGATGAAGCAATTCTTTCCTTTTGATCGAGTGGTGTGAACACGCCCGCGCACCCAAATCTAAAAGAAAAATAAAATAAAACCATACATTAATGGGTAATAGGATTACTTCTTGCGTGGCGACGGCAGAAGTCACATCCTTGACGCGGATAATGTTCAACTCCTTCTTTTCCTTGGAATTCACCAATCCATACGATCCATAGAGATCTTTTGAATAATCTTCTTGGTCACCATCTCCCTGGTGCTGCTGGGCATTTCCTTTCTAGAAGGTTAAACATTACAACACATTTTAGAGAAGTGACCCACCTCAGCAGCTAATGATTCCTTCTTGGCCTTTCGCGCCAATTTGTTCAACTCCTTCTTCGAAAGTTTTGGCTCTCCGTTTTCGTTGTTATCAGCCATGACCTACATTAAAGATTATTGAGAACATGAATAAAGCAATTAATAAAAATTAATTAATTTCGCAATATTACAATTTACCATATAATATTTGTTGTAAATCGGGATTATGGGATATTTGTTAATGAAAATTGATGAATTATTTTTTTTCGAAGATTAATAACACAAAAATTATAAAACTAGAGTCTTAAAACAACAAAAAAATCGAAAATTTAAAGAAAATTTTAGGAGTTACTAGGTGTTGGCTTTTGCGTCGAGCGCGTTACGTACAATACATCACGCTTGACGCAAACGCCTTTTTGAATTTCTTGAACGTTTTTAAATTATTTATTTTTACTTCTTTTAACCAATTTTATGGTTTTTAATTTTAGACAGACATTGGGATGGAATCACCCACGTCGTTTGCAATCCCAATTCCCTTAAAAGACAGTAATGTAAGTATTTTTAAATCTATTTATTTATTTCGCCATAAATTATTTCGTGCTTCATTCCCACTAGCCTACAAATGAAATTTTGTAAATGTTTTGTTAAAATTGTGGCGGTTGAGAATTAAAAAGTAAAAAATCAGCCATACGAAACCACCACGCAATTTCAACAAACATTTTCAAAATTTCAGGCGAGTCATCTCAAAAGTTTACGTCGATTTTCGATTGAAGTTTGGAATTTAACGCAAAATTGGGGCGATTACTCGTCAAAATGCGCAAAAGCTCTGGAGCAAATTGTGAATGCTCGCCTCCAAATTATGTACTCAAAAACCGCCGACGAGAAATTGAGCGATGATGAGAAGCTGCGTCTCGAAGCGAAAATTCTAAAGAGCAATGACGAATTGAATTCGAATCTGGACGGTTTGGAAAAAGTCATCGGCAAATGCAGCACGGCGCAGCAACGAATAGCCGCGTGGAAGCAGCTGACGGCAACCAGTAGTTCGAAAGAAGAAAAGAATATCGTTGAAACACTTGAAGAAACCATTCCGACGATTATTCGAATGTTCCAAAGAGAGCTCGACGCCAAGAAATGCGGACTGCGCGACATTGCTGAAAATGAGAATCGAAGCGTTTACACCGTTGTATTGTTGGCATTTAAACATGAGCCGTTCATTGATACCAATTATTTATCGAAATTGTACGCCATTGTGGCGAATGAAGCTCAATAAATATTGTATAATCGTGAAAATTTGAGAGTATTTTCGATTTGAATTGCAGGATCTCGTCGAAATTAATTGCACGGAATTCTCGTCGGATGACGAACTCATCAATGTATTAGTCGCTGAGAATGCCAAACTATCATATTGGATTGAAGCGGCGGTAGGTGTTCGCATTATTATGGACCCCGAGGAAGCCAATCATATATTTTGAGGTTACTTTAGAATCGAATGGATTTCTATTATACATTTCTATTTGTATTTTTGATTTGATAATTTTAAAATTTACGAAATCTTATAAGGTTTTAAAATGTATGAAGAAAATATTGTCGACGTCGCGCGATTGCGGAAAATTGGCTGCCAAAATTTTTTAAAAGGGGTCTCGATGGACGATGTGCGCCTTTAATCTATCCTTATAATTAGGCCTGTAAATCTTTTAATTTTGCGCCAAAACCAAAGTTATTGTTTTTTGACGTTTAACCAATATTCCGCGAAAAAAAAAAACAATCACAATAGTCTTGGCGCAAAACTATAAGTGTAGATTTACGGGCCTATGAATAAGCATAAATTAAAGGTTAAGACACCGCGTGCTAAGACCTCTTTCAGCCTTTTTGGAATTTTTTTCGCGTGTCGTCGAAAATTCGAAGAATCTTCAGCGCGTTTTTTTTATTTGTCTGAATTTGAATAATACGTCATCAAATGGTTTAATCTTGGAAATTAATCCAAATCATCCAATAAATGCATTTGCCTTACTAAAATCGAATAATTTTATTTTTTCATTTTTTTAGCTCATTTATTATCGCCACAAAAGGTATTCAACATTTCTCTACGTTCTTGAAAAAGCTGGAACACTCGCCGGTCTTGAATATGCCGGAGTTCAAACGGATCAGATGAGGGCGCTGGATATTCTGGCAGCATATTGGATGGATCAGGTATCAAGAACTGTTCAATTTTTCATTATTCACCAAACAATTTCATTTTAGGGATACAAGGAAAAGAACAAAGAGAAACGCTATGATTTGTTCAATAAAGCGACGGTTCTGTTCAACACCGCCGACAAAATCTCGATGTACGAGTGGTCGCATTTAACCGTTCGTGCGTGGTTCTTCCTCTATGAGAAGGAGCAGCGAGAGAATAAGCTTCTTCTGGCTGATCAGCAGTTTAATTTCGTCATAAAAACTGTAAATTTCATTTTAATGGCATTAAATCGAAAAATTTTGTTTTAGCAACCTAAAAATTGTCTATCGCTTATCGGAAAAGCGGTTGTTTCATACAATCGCAAAGATTTCAAGTCAGCTGTTTACTATTTCAGAAAGGTATTCATTGGTTTTGTTTTTGAAATTCTCAAAACGAAGTCTATTTAGGCAATTCGAATGTGCCGACATTCAGTAGCAGATCTACGGGTTGGATTGGGCTATTGTTTCGCGAAATTGAATAAACCTGATAAAGCCAAGTAAATTGGTTTTCGACAGCATCGTTCGAAAACTAATGAGATTTCAGATTGGCTTTTGAGCGAGCCCTGGAACTTGATGAGAACAATGTTTCAGCGATGTGCGGACTTGCAATTCTTCACTTGAACACACTCGAACCGGAGCTTTTTAAGGTTTTTGGATAAAAAAGAAACAAAGAATTTTAAGAATTGAATGTTTCAGTCGGCAATTCAATTGTTCGGAAAAGCTTATCAAATCCATCAAGAGCATCCGGTTGTTCTTATACACCTCGCCAATCATTTCTTCTTCAAACGGGTAAATCTTTTCAAGAAATAATTTCGAAATTGTTTTGCCGTTTTAGGAATATGATCGCGTTCATCAGCTGGCTTGGCATGCGATGCAAACCACTGAAAGTGAGGAGATCAAAGCAGAAGCTTGCTATCAAGTCGCCCGACTCAAGCATGTTCAGCGGCAATTTGATACAGCCTTTCAAGTTGGGATTTCGAATATTGCCTTACATGGCATTTGATTATTTCAGTATTATTATCAAGCTAAAACTTTGAACAATGGAGAACTCACTATTGCATATTTCGGGCTTGGTCAAATGCATATTTATCGTAATGAGCTCGTTCAGGTTTGAGTTTTCTCACAGCTTCTTCACAAAAAATCGTCATTTTTTCAGGCTATTGAAGCATTCGAGGTTGTTCACCGACGAATGCCGAATAATATGGAAACTGTTAAAATTCTGGGCTCACTTTATGCTCATACAACTTTTACTGATTTAGTAAGAGCATCGTGTTGCATTGAAAAACGCGAATTTTTTGATTTCTAGAACGAGCAAGCGGCTGCTCGTCAGAAGGGTCGCGATCTACTTTTGAAGTATTTGGAGACAATTCCAGACGACATCGAAGTGTGCATTGATTTGGCGCAACTTCTCGAATCTGTCGATGCGCCGAAATCGTTGCATTTGTACGAGACTGCCATCGATTTGCTGAAGACGGTCGAAGACATCGATCCGCAACCCGAAATGCTCAATAACGTCGGAGCACTTCATATGCAGCTGAATGATTTTGAGAAGGCGAAAAAATATTTCGAATCGGCAAGAGATCGATTATTGGTGAGTTCAACGAATTGAAATCATTCATCATTGTTGATTTTATTCATTTTTAGGAAATGATTGAAACACAAGAAAGAGATGAATCGGAACGGGTCCAGTTGCTCACGATCAGATACAATTTGGCGAGATGCTTGGAGCATTTGTGTCGGACCACCGAAGCCGAACAAATGTACAGGGAAATCACAAAAGAATGCCCGAATTATACCGATTGTGAGTTTTGAATGACATTGAAATGCGACAATTATTGGTTTCAGGTTACATGCGGCTGGGTTGTCTCACTCGCGATCGCGGACAGATCTATGATTCGTCGGTGTGGTTCAAAAACGCGCTGCAGTACGATCAGACATCGCCGGATGCGTGGACGCTTATCGGCAATTTGCACATGTCGAAGAATGAGTGCGTTTTTGCGATTCGCCCAACGAACCAATGCGAACCAATTCGCTTCTGTTTCAGATGGCAACCGGCGCAGAAGAAATTCGAGCACATTTTGCAGAAATGCGAGAACAAGACGACTGACGCCTACTCATTGATTGCCCTTGGAAATGTTTGGCTCGAACAGCTCATGACGCCGAATCATAAGAAGGAAGACGTGAGTTTTGAGCGGTGGATTCTTGAAATGACGTTGATTTGAATGATGGCAGGAGAAAAAGTATATGGATCGAGCGTTGGCGATGTATCAGAAGGCGCTCAAATCGCAACCAAGGAATTTGCTGGCAGCCAACGGAATTGGTATGGGCGATCTTACCCGGGGACACTTTGATCTTACACCTTGAACCGAATCGCTAAAAAAATATTCAAATTCGAATTTCGCATTTTGCTGCGAGATATTTAACAATTTTCGCGGTTCATTGATCTACAGCAGAGCTACACGGAATTCCGTCTTCCGTTTCCCGTGACATTTTCCTGTTCCGCGTTCCGTTTCCGTCTTCCGTCAAAAAAAATTGTTCCGACTTCCGTATTCCGTGTTCCGATTGAGATATCTGCACGTCTAGCGAATATAAAAGGGCTTCTAGCACAGCCGGAAAAATTTGTTTGAGAAAAAGAGGGTCCTTGTCGAATGAGCGTCAAAAAAATATCGTCCTTTGTTCCGCCTTCCCTCTTCCGTTTTTTTTTTTGAAAATTTAAGTTCCGTGCAGCTCTGATCTACAGTAATCTTTGGTTTATTTTTGTTTTAATTTCCCGTTGTTTCGAAATTTCCTCCTCTGTTTCTACATTCTCATTAGAATTGTTGTTGAATATTATTATTCAGGATGTGTGTTGGCTTTCAAGAAGGCTTGGAATGACGCGAGAGACGTTTTCTCGCAGGTTCGCGAAGCGACGAGCACATTCCTTGACGTTTGGATCAATATTGCGCACGTTTACATGGAAAGAGAGCAATATATGCCGGCGGTGCAAATGTACTCATCGGCGATGAAAAAGTTCAACCGCGAAAATGATCCGGCGATTCTTCACTATCTCGCAAAAGCCTACTATCGGGCGGGAATGGTCGAAGAAGCGAAGGAAACTCTTGAAAAGACGCTTCTCGAAGCTCAGGATAACATTCTTGTCAAGTTTAATTATGCGGTTGTTATGAAGAGAAGTGCCAAGAATGTTTTGAGGCAGCTTAAGGTATATTTTATAAATTTTCGAGCCATTTTCTCATTTATTCTCATTGTTTAGATGACATCGGATCAAGTGAAAAACGCGATTTCTGATCTGAAATTCTCCGAACGAATATTCAAATACATATCGAAGAATGATGATTTATCACTTCCTGGTGCGAAATTATTGTCGCGTACGATATGCGGGGAAGAAGCTCAGAATTGTCGTGATCTTCTGACGCAGGCGAATCAGAAGCTTGAAGTGGCCATGGCGCATGATGAGGAAGAGAGGAAGTTGAAGCAGAAGCAAGAGGAGGAGAAGGAGGCGCTCCGAAGGAAAATGATGGAGGAAGCGCGACGAAAGGAGGAGGAAGAGAGGCAGAAGCTCGAAGCGGCGAAGGCGTTGAGATCGACGTTCGTCGAGATGACGAAGGACATAATGAGACTGCCACAGGTTGTCGAGGAGAAAAAGAGCAGATCTGGAAGGAGGAAGAAGGGCGAAGATGGCGACGAATTTGTCAATGACAGTTCCGATTATGGTGTGCATTATGGCGATGGTGAAGGCGGTGAAGAGGGTGGAGAGCGAAGGAAGAAGGATGTAAGCCCGAATGATATGAAGAAGTGATTCATATGGTGATTTTTGTTCAGAAAGCTGCTCGAAAGGCTTCTAGGAAGCGGCGAGAACGGCGCGAGAGTGGATCGGATGCCGAACGGCGGGCTGAGAAGAAGCAGAGGAGAAAGGAGGAGAAGGAGAGGAAGATGGCTGAGCGGTTGTCGGCGAAGCAGACCGCCAAGAGTAAGAAAACATTGAACTTTTATTATTTTTTTTACCTAATTCATTTTAGTCAAATCTCGCGCGTTTGTGTCGTCATCCGATGATTCTTCGGATGATGATAAAGATCGGAAGCAGCCGGAGGAAGACGATGACGATGATAGCCCACCGCCGCCGATTATTGGTGCTAGTGATAGTGATGATGATGACGCTGGAGCGGAAGTGAGTCGAAAGAAGAAGAAGAAGGCGGTTGTGGATTCGGATGCGTCGGAAAGCGATGACGATGAGAATCCGCCGGTGATTGGAAAATCCAGTGGTAATTTTTTTTTCATTTTTCGTTTTGCGACATCTTTGAAAATGCCTAATTACTCAAGGAAAATACATCAGAATTTGATTATTTCATAATTCGAATGAAATTGATTGTCGATATGTCAAAAATTGTTTCAAAATTTTTGGAACACAATTCAAATTTTTGGCTACTCTCTTTTTTCCGCGAAAATGGCAGCAGAAAAATTAAATTGAAATTGAGAGTATAGAAAAATGTTTCATATTTCATATATAGTCGGCATCCGACGATTGCTGAACGCGGGTAGATTTACGAGTGCGCCTTTCGAAATGGTCTCGCCACACGTGAAGGCTGATTTTGAAATTTTCACGCGAATTGTTCAATTTTTCTTGATGGGTATATGATTCCCTTGAAATTTTAGCATCATTAAAATTTAAAATTAGCGGCATGACCTTAAAATGCAAAATAGCCGGTTAGTCTGTGCGAGACCACAGCGAAGGCGCATTCGCGTAAATATACCGAAGTCGTATCGACAATATTAAATTGAGTGGAAGAGTAAAGCCTTTTAAGCTTTTCCCTGAAATTCAACTCAAAAATTTCAGATGAAGATGATGAGCCTGGGCCGAGCAAAAAGAAGGCTAGTGATGAGAGCGAAGAAGAAGAAGAAGAAGAAGATAATGATGATGACGATCAGCCTAGCAAGAAGAAAAAGAAGAAGATGGTAGCATTTACAAGCATTTTTTGTCAATATTTCGTTTTTTCAGATGTCGAGCGATGAGTCAAATAGCGATGATAGCGATAGTGACTGAGAAATCAAAAAAAAATTGTTGCTTATATTCATATTTATTCCCTTTTTATTAATTTTTATGATTTTTCACACATAATTATATTATTATTATTATTATTATCATTTCATTCATTCACGCACACATACATTCGTTTTTTACTCTCTCTCTATCTTTCTCGCGCAAGCATAAAACTGAATAATTATATGATTATCGAAATGCTAAAAATAGTAGGGCTAGATATGTGGAAAGGGAGCAACTTGATGAGCCGACTGGTTGTGATTGGGTGATTGGTGGTAGTGAGGCGGTCGTGGTTTGGATGTATTGCTCGGAAACGATGCCTGAAATTTTTTTCTTTTTTTTTTGACAAGCGAATTTCAAATGGCATTTCTAACAGCGGCCAACATTTTTTGTGAAATTTCTACGGGATCTAGAATTAGTGATACTGTAGCAGTGATTTATATGTGTGGGTGCGCTTCTAATGATTCGTTTAAAGGCGCAAAACGAATCAGATGATTTTTGGTGTTAAAATGTGAAGAAAACGGACTAACATTGTAAAATAATGGCCAGTTGCGTCGAGACAATTCAGACGGTACCTGACAGATTCGAATATGTGTTTGATTTTTTTTTGTTGGGAAGATGGGAGTCCGACTCAGAAGGGTGAAGATGGTGAATGAGTTGGACAGAATCACTTACCGATGACGCCGCATGCTAGACGAGAACCGGCGTTGCCGGTGGATTTCGACAAATCCGAATTTCCGCGTCCCAAATCATCGACCTGAAACACAATTTTTTTGAGGTTTTTGAGATTTGGCGGCAAAATAAAACAATTTCGAATTTTTTTGTGAACGAAATTTGAAAAAAATGACTTGGCTATGTGCCAATGCGTCTCGGTGTAGCGAGACGTACGCGAGATTGCGTACATTGCATTATAGCGTACGCGCATTTAATACTCAGTTAACGATAAATTTAATCTACACTAATTTCGCGAATTTGATGGTCCCGCCTTCCGATAATAATCAGTTTTTTATAGCATTGATTCGCTTCGATTTTGGGTCTTGACACGATTTAACGCCGCGAAATTCAAATGTTTGTCTCGATTATTCCCTATGCCATTGCTATTTTCTCAGTGTAACATTTGTATTGTAACTTTATGAGGAAATTGGCATATGCGGTTCCGCGCGTTTAATATGTACTGCATAGTTAATAGAAACCGGATTGAACGATTTTACGCATAATTAAGCGATGAACACGAAAAGTGATTGGTTTCGAGAAAACGATGCGCGCACCTTTTCGTGGATGACGACTGCTCTGCCGACAATCGCGAATTGGCCGCTCAGCGATGCCAATGAATCTGAAACCGCAATCGGCGTGTCCCGCCCATTTGCCTATAAATGGGAACTGATATCGAATCGAACAAAATTGCTTACAGGTGTCTCGATGTTTCCCAAATCGCCAATATGGCGATTCGAGTCGTCCGGTGCACCATGTGTCAGCTTATGCGGATTGTAATGAGCACCTTCAATGATTCTTTTAGCGAAAATTTTGAGGCGTACGTTCAAATGCAAGTCCGCAGAGTTCATGCGACGTGATTGCACAATTTACACATATCAAGTAAACTTTTTGCGGACTTGCATTTTAATTGACGCCTAAAGAGTTAATGCAGAAAAAGTAATAAATGAATATTTTTTTTTTCAATCTCTCAGTATTGCCCCCAAAATTTGTCGAAGTTTGCATGATTTAATGAAATAATAATTTCCTCTAATTCGAATCATTCTAATTTTGCTTCTAGCATTTTTTTTTCTCCTAAATTTTGCCAGCCATTTTCAATGCAAATTTGAACCTGTATTCATGCATCCATTTCCAATATCTCCCTTCTCGTGAATATGGAATCCATGCTTGCCGGGCTCCAATGAGCTTACTGAGCCATTGAGCTGAAAAATAATCCATCAAATCTGCATTGTTCTTATTTGAAAACATTTTCCAAAAATCAATTTTTCACCAGCAATGTGTTTGATTCGCAGGTTGTCCGGAGTACGGTACCCGAATTTCGACTGTTTAATTCGAAATTTAAATTTCACAAAGAGTGTTCGCGGCCGCCATATTCACGTCCATGAAAAACTAGTCCCCGGAAAGGGAGGAGAGCTTAAGCTTGAGGGTCGATATTTAAAAGTCTGCCCACGTAGAGACCTACTTTAATTCTGGGTTCGATACTCAAGGACCCTGGTTTTGAATTGTAGCGCCAGAAATTCCTTTGTAACCATCTGCGGACATATTCCGGGATGCGCCGCAGTCGCCTATTTGTTGTTATCAGCGGTGGCGGCAATTCAAACACAAGGCGAGGGGGGGATCCCAGTTTTTTGACAACGCTGATTCAATCGATTGGAAATTTTCATAAGAATTTGTATACATACAAAAATTTGAGCTGATCTTCAAAAAAAAACCCCTTTTAACGCCTAAATTGGATCAATTTTCAACATTATTTTTGTCATCGCCAATTTCTTTTCAATTCTCATTCTTGTGTGTTGTAGGCCGCGTTTGACCTACTCCAAACCAAAAATAGTCGCTAATCGGTTTTGCAGAATTGCGATTTGAAAGCGAATGACGATATTTTGATTTGCAAAAACGAATTTTGATACGCAGAGAAGAAAAGAAAAAAAAAGATAAACTGCGACAGATTAGCTATTTTAGCGAAAAAAACGACAACAAAAAAATTGGCAACGATGAGCAATATTTACCTTGAGGAAGCTGCCGATTTGCTCAAAATCGATCGTTCCAATGAGTTGGGTTGGAACCTTTCCGGTTTCCGCTTTATAAATGTAGGCTCGCGCTCGGACCACTGAATATTATTATTATTAGAGGTCAATTCAGTATGGGGGGGGGGCGACGAATACCTTCAGAAGCGGCACGTGCGTTGACAAATACGCTCGAAATTCCTATCAGAATCGTCGTGAAATGAAACATCGCTGAAAGCAACAAAAAACGACGTCGTCGACGAATGAAATCAACATAAATAATGGCTGGACGAGAATCGAATCGATGGAATCACGGGAGAGAGAGAGAGAGAGATGCGCAAAAACACATTGATTACAAATGAAAAATGTTAACACAGCTGACAAAAGAAGACGGCGTTTGGCAAAACGTTTCGAAACATTGATGCGCGGCGGCGGCTGTGATTTGATACGGGACGCGACTCGACAAATGGAATCCTACAGAGGATTTGGCAACAATAAATTATTTTGCAAGTTTTGGACGCACGGCGAACTCTTCAAATTCTCCGATTTTTGAAATACTCGCCACTAGAGACCTGAAATGATGAAATCGCCCAAAAATTGGTCTGCAGGAAGTGGGATTCGAACCCACGCACCCATACGAGTACCAGAACACCCAGTGCGACCTCGAAACCGCGAGGCAAGCTTAGTATTACGCTTGAGTCTGGCGCCTTAGACCACTCGGCCATCCCTGCACGTTGTGGTACCGTTGCGATAGCATAGGAAAGCGAGCGCTCTCATACAACAAACCAGTCAGACGTTTATTATCACAGGAAATATAAATTGAATTGAAAATAAATGACGGCTCGCCGCAGGTCTGGTGTGATCTAGAAAAATGGTCAACATTTTAAAATATTGAAAATACAATTTTCTTTTATTTCCACAAAGTTGTAAATTTTATGTTGATTTTCCGTATTTGAAATCGCATTTAGTGTTCGTAAACACACATCACATACGTATTGTTCTACTTAATTAAATTAGCAAATCTATTTATTGTGGCCGTGGCCGAGCTTATATTGCGAACATCTTTTCTAGGCCACACAAGCGCTTTTCTTTTATTTCCACGAACTTGCGACATTTTTGATGTTTGAAATCAGATTCAGTCGTAAATTTTTGAAAAACATAGACAACTAAATTTAAATTTTATGAAAAGTTTTTAGTCAGCTTGATGAACTATAATTTTATTAGAAATTTTTCTAAAATAAAAATTTTCGAAATCTCGCATTTTTAGTAGTTTTTTTTTAAAGCGAAAAGCAAAAAGTGTATATTTTTTGGGAAATGAACTGATCAAATTGAATTTCAAAACTCTCACAACTGTGAGAAAAAAAATAGGCGACGAGAAAAAGTTGGAATAATTAAAATCGTGGGCAAACTTTTGTCGTTGAGCAACCAGGAGCAGCGCCTCGCAAATATTTGCGCAAACTGGAAGAAACGAAAAAAATAGGAGAAGAATGATTGCACAAAAGTGAGCCGATAATTAGGCGAAGAGATGTGACAATGAACGAGAAGAACACGGCAACTCAAACCGCCAGCAGACAGTTAAAAAGGAAAAAAAAACAATCGGTCGTCGAGTGCTTTTAATGTTGTTCGACTGATTTTGTGTGGTCGAATCACGGGTTCGAGTGTGATGCGAGACTCAACAATGTCGATGACTCATCCAAATCGCTTTTCATTTTTTTATTTCGACCAAAAAACTCAATATTAAAGGAACATGGGTAAAATATTTCGTTTTGTTGGATTTCCAAGCAGTGAATAGGTCTAGAAGAATTTCAAACATTTTTTTTTGGATGTTTCCCATCTGCGATAAACAATACGATTCGAAAAGGTTCATACACATGCACGCAAAATTGCACACATTTGGATGTCCTACAAATTCGTAGGTTTCGGTTTATTCAGAACATATTCAGTATCATCAAATCTTCACTTCGAGACCAAGCGGTTTATTTGCGATATGACGTGCTTCCCAGGTCATCCATAGTACGGAATTCCGACAGCTAAATTCGATATTCAAATTGCCGCCTCGAAAAAAATACGATGGTCCGCTATTATTACTCAAGGAGTTCGTTTTTTGCGATGGAATGAATTTGGTGGCTCACGTGGCCGTAATTTTCACGTCCCTGAAAAACTAGTCCTCGGGGGTAAAATTTGAGAAATTCTCGCAATCGATACTTTCCGATTATTGTTTGTTCCCAAAAAATTCGAAGAATAGTGAATCAAGGTTTATTAAAGGTTCATTACGATTCTTTGAGTATATTTTTTATTTTTTTTATTTGCAGCCAAATTTGCTCAGAACAAAAGCGTCCATAAAAAATTGATTAATTTCAGCATTTGTTTAGTTTTTCAGATAATTTGAATTTTAAAATGGTTCAAAAAAATAGCAAAAAATCAATTTTAAATCGCAATTTTCAAACAATTATGTTTTGTTTTTTTTTTATTTTAATACGCATTTTAAAGAAAAACTCAAAAAACCCAAATTTTCAGAAAAAAAAATGCTTCTTATTAATCGCTGCAAGACTCATAAAAAATTTTGTGTGTGCGCCTTTAATCACAATAGAAAAAATCGAAACTGTAATCGAAAAACTTTAAAAAATGTTTCATGAGTCTTTTTAATAGAAAAATTGGATTCTATGTAGGCGTGGCCGCGGCCGAAGATTCTGGATTTTTTTCTGCCATCTGTATAGTAGGTTTTTTTTGAGTTTTTTTTTCCAAATCGGCATAATACCATAAATTGGTGTTTTTTTCCGCCCAGTGAATTTCTCATTTGCGACCAATTTCAAAAATAGTCGCCGCGAAAAAAGAACAAACATAAGGGGAGAAGATTGAAAGAAAGAAAAAAAGAAGAAAAAAAAAAACAGGAAATAAGCGTCTGGAATTATGAATCGTATCTACCAGTTTCGAATCGGACGAAGCGCGTTTTCGAGGAGGAAAAAAAACGGCGAAACAAACAAAAAACGCGAGCGAAAGGAAAAACTCCGAAAAAGGTGGGGAGAAGCCGTTGCGGTTTTTATTCACACCCTCAACCGTTTTTTTTTTCAATGATGAAAAAACGTTTTTCAATTTTTGCTGCCTGTTTTTTGAAAACATTCCCCTCATATTTGCCAATTTCTTGAATTTCCATTCTTCAAACAATGCCGTTTTTCTCTAAACAAGAATTGGAAACTCCCTCCTCGAAAATTTTATTTATAATTTCGTTGAAACACAATTTGACAGTTATAAATTTTTTGAATTCTTAAGAAATTCCTATTGAAGACAGAAAGGAAAAATTTGGCCTCGTTTCAAACATTTATTATTACCATCTCAAAAAAAATGAGCATTTTGACAAATTGTGGACCATCGCACTTTTTCGAGGCGGGTAATTCAAATTCGAATTGAAATTCGGATACCGTACTCTGGATAACCTGCGAATCAAACTAAAATTGCAATCGGAGTCGAATTCTTTGAATTTCCGAAAATTGTCTGTCTTCGACAATCCGAAATTTCAAGAAATTGTCCGTATTGTCAAAAAAAAACTTACGAGCTTGAATAATATCCCATAATTTTTTATTTGCTAAAAAATATAAAGAGATTATTTTTTAAAATAACGATTTTGGAAATTTCGAATTCTGTGATTTCTTCGGATCTTCGGACCACGCCTCTTTAAATTGAAAAGAGCAGCGTTGGGTCCTGGGCGGCCCGGTGGGGCTCAGGACCGGTCTGGGCCCCCATTCGGACCACCCTGGCGAGACCCAAATATCTAGAATGAGGCAGGCTTCTGATTTTTGTCACATTATCAATTTTAATCAAAAATTGAAGGATTTCAATACCCAAAATACTGCATTCGCAAAAAATGAGCATTATAAAATCAATTAAAATAATGATTAATTGTAAAATTACTCATTCCTGATCCATTTTGGATCGAACATTTACAAAATATTTTTTCAATCATAAAAAAAGCAGCCAAAAAACCGATTTATTACTATTTATTTAAATTTCTCAAACCGCGACGCATACGCAACGCGGCCGATTCACAGCCACGCGAATTTGAATACTCGAAATTGGCTTCGAAATGACAAACCTGGAATGAGGGAGGCAATACAGAAAAATAATAAAAAGTCGTTTTCGTTTGATTCGCATCGAGACCCAAAATAGGGAAAAATGTAACCGCATGACACAGAGATACGGTATTTCAAGACGCATGCCGTTTTTCTATACGATGGGTCTCGATGCGAATCCAACGAAAACACCTTTTTTTATTTTTCTGCATTGCCCCATAAGGAAACCACTCTTTGAAAAAATTTGTTAGGCTTAAATTTTGCGATTTCAGCAAGCAGCTACGCGAATAAAACTATGGGGGGAAGTTTTCAGACGAATTTATAGATCGCCTGAAACACATTCGACGTTGCTCCTGCCATTCTCTTGAGATGTCGCAAATTGTCCGCAGATCGAAATCAAGTTATTCACTTGACAAAATCGGCACGCAAAAGTCCTCAACTAAACGTTTTCAATTGCGCAATACCTCAATTGCGACAAACGAATTTTCAAGTCGTCAGATAATATCGACATATTTGGTCACAATTTCACGCAACAATCCTTGACGGCACTTGTCGTCGAAAGTCGTGCGAATGCGTGCACGCCTTCATCTTATTATTGCCTCAAAATATTTGCCCAAATATGCATTTTCTGGGCTACTATGTCAATTCGATTGTTTTCCTCACCGTTTTATTTATTTTCAGCAAAACCAAAAAAAAAAGAAGACGCAGGAATGCTGTCTACAGTAATCGTCGGTCTTCTCGTTTTGTTTCGGAGTTGTGGTAGGCGAAAACAACAAAGAATTGAGGATGGCGTTTGAAATTTAAAGGTGCATGCAGCCCATTCGGACGGGAGAGTTTGCTGGTCGCGCAGTCCATGTTAGGTAGGATTGGATGCCGTTTTCTGAGTGGCACATCAGGGCCCTTCAATTTGCAGGTCCCGATAGAACGATCTCAACGAATGAATTATTCTCATCAGCTTCTTCGTCTTCAAATGTTCGAGCGCGCGGTCAGAACACGCACCTTCTCGTTCCATCGATCCCATCGAATCCGAAATCGATGAGCGTCTGTAAGTGTCGCATTTGAATGGCGCGTTCTCATCGATTTTCAGCGCTCGGCGTCCCATCGGCACCGCCGATTCGAAAATCGAGCGATTTGAATTGCGCGCATTTCGATGAGTCGTGCCGTTGGCGAAATGTCGATGGACTGTTTGTCGACGAACTCGACTGGTATCAGGGCTCCGGCGAACTGGACGCCTCACGAATGGCGGTTGCGACGGCCACACATGTGCTTCCAGGTGCTCAAAGAAGCTGTATTCGAAATTTAGAAAAAAATGAAAAGTGAAATCGGGAGATTCCCTCTTTAAAAGAAAAAAATTGCAAGAAAAATTGCGAATTTTCAAAATCCAAATTTTATCTTAAAACATATATTACAATCAACATCGTCTTTTTCAACGAATTTCAATTTTTTTGGGGGATTCGCGCGAAACGCAATTTTCCCGGAATATGTCCGCAGATGTTTGCAATCATCCGATTTTTTCGACCAGTGTCCCCCAAATTCTATCAAAATCCGTATCAAAAAAAAAATAGGAAGAACTGTTTCGTAGAAATATAATCCTTTTTGTTTCCGTCAAACACCGGAACCCGGAATTCCGCAGGAGCGGGTGTATTATTGAGTCAACCAAATAGAATGCCAAATTGAGAGAAGCGGGAGCTTATATAGTTCCCCCAGGATCGTACCACAAGCAATAGAGACGCAGAGAAAAATATTGCGACGTGTGAGAGACGCAAAGAAAAAAAGGGGAGAAGCATAGACCGAGTGAGAGTGAGAGGGTGCTATACAACGAGACATTTCTGTAGGGCACGTTTGTGGGCTGTACAGTTTTTTTTTGTTTTCGTTTCTGTTGTTTGACGGAAGAAAAAATTAAAATTAGGAAAATTAAACATAAATTAATCTGATTTGATTGAAAAATAATTGAAATTTGATTAAGAAAGTGTATAAATTCGATTTGAAAATCTGGTTTTGAAATCGATTAATTTATTTCTAATTTTCAATTTTAAAATCAAATTTGATTGAAATTTTGGAATAATTCGAAACAGATTAATTTATATTCGATGAATTTTCGAAAATTGAATTGAAATTGAGAAAAATAATTGGATTTTTTCATAAAACATTTAATTTATTGTTTCAAATTGCAATTAAAACAATTTCCATCGCAAAAAAAAAACACACCATGAGCATTTGCGGACCATCGTAATTTTTCTGAGCCCCCCCCCCCGGATAACCTGCGAATCAAACAAAATGGCTCTCAAATTTTTTTCTGGATCCCCTATTCAGACGGCTCCTACGCAATCGCAGCCACCGAACTCGTCCAATTCCCGACAACCAAGGCAGTGTTGGTGTCGGATGAGATCGCGTGCCAATCCGGCGACGGCGAGATCCGATTCATGTATTGGACATCGCCGGAGGTTCAAATCAAAGTCTGTGTGAAGAAGATGTCGAAAGTGTTTCCGGATTTCGATTTCTGCAGGTAGTTTCGAAAATCGAGAAACAAATATTGAATTGTTCGATGGATTCTAGCTCGCCAATCGACAAAACCGATCCAGGACCGGTTTTCATCAATATTCCGGATCAAGGACCAGTTCCATTTCAGGTTTTTCTTTGCTGAAAATTGAACACGGTTTTTCTTTTCAGATTTATCTCATTGCTGATCATTTCACATTCAATTCGGATAATTTGAAAGGCGATTCATCGAAAACCCATTTTCAAATTTTTGATGATCTCGTTTTAGGAGGCTTTGCAATTATTGATTCTATCGAATATTACGCCAAAATGTGCCAGAATGGCGGACAAGAAGCCCAAGGAAATTCATTTGATCCATCTGATGAACTGGTTATTTTTGATTTTTTTTGTGCTTCCCCCCATTAATTGGCTGGATTTTCGCGTTTTCAGACCCAAAATGGAGTTGTTCCTTTAATTCCATTGGCCGAATCGAGCGATGAAACCGCTCGAGTGACTTCGAAACGAGCTGCCGTCACACCGCCGACATTGAAGTTGGGCATTTCTCGGCATTCCGACACCAAAACGGGCATTTATCAATTTGAATCAATTTTGGATAAAAAGCCGAATATCGTTGCGAATTTGGTAGTTGGCGGAATTGTTTCGCAAAAATATTCCCGCAATTTGCAGGAAAATGATGAAGACGACGATGGGATGTCTTCAATTTGCGAGGTTGCTGTATGCTCCTTTAATGAATCTGAACTATGCTCAAGGTAATTATCTAATCTAATTAGACAAAATTAATATTGCCCGATTCATTGATTTAGAATTGCTAGCAAATCTGGATGGCAATTGTCGAATGAGCCGGTTGGAAATCCATTGACGGGAATCCGAGGCGATGCTTCTTCCCTTCCTTATCATGAAGGTTTCATCTCTTTATTTCAGATTGATTTCCTTAAATGGAATTGTTTAGAAGGGTCATTTGCATATATCGAAGGTCCCCAATTCGTTTCGCGTCTTCAGACTTCTTCATTCTTCGTTGATCAACCGGTCACACTCGTATTTTCGTATTATAAGGTGAGACAAAATGGCGAAACAATTGTCGATAATATTTTTTGTATTTTTCAAAACGATTCTAAAAATTCTGCCTGAATACAATTTTATTTTTAGCGCGAAATTCACAAAAAAATGTGACTTACATGTAATTTTGCTTGATACACAGCCAAATTATTGCGAGACCAAATTGCGCAGTTCAAAATTTAAAAAAATTGGGTAAAATAGGATGGACGGTGCAAAGAACGAAAAGCTGATTGTTCTTCACTCTTCCGGGTGGAGTACACCAGCCAGAGACAAACACGGCCATCTGTATGTCGGCCACGGCCACTTCGGTTGCGCCAAGTGCAAATTCACTGCCTTTTTTTCCCTACCAAAAATATTGACAGTTTTTTTCGAAAGGTTTATAATTTGTTCTCAAAAATTTAGGCTTAATTTAAAATCGAATAAAAATGTATGTTCAGGTCAATCAATGATTCGCCGAATTCCAAAATTTTTCAGCAGTGTCTCGGATTTGCCAATTTTTGGCTGAAATACATTTTCTAGATTTAAAAAAAACAACTAAAATAATGTTTCGCTGCAAGACCTTATAGTATTTTAAAATTGAAACAAGACAAATTCCATGGAAAAAATGATTATTGTCGAAATCGCGCGACTAGGACAAATTGTCGAAAGTAAATGTCAGAAATGGTCTTGAGACGAAAAGTCGCTGTGTACTCCGCACAGACAATGCACCACTTATCATCGTGGCCTAAAAATATGCGGCATTGATGTTGCAAGACCCAACCCACATAAAAACACATTTAATTCAAAAGATTGATTACGCTAAAAGTGATACTATACTCCGTAAACTTGGAGTGTCGTTGCGAGTCGCACGCCAAAAAAGGACACATTTCTTTTAAAGCGATTTCAGCTTACATCATTTTTTTTTCAGGCTGACAAAATCAGCGAGTTGCGCGTATTGCTGAAACCGGAGTATTCGAAAGAATTCGCCGTCTTTCGCGCTCCAAGACTCACAAAAACTTCAAGACGCTGGTATCGGGAGAGCATTCAAATCGCTGCAGGATCCTATGAATACGTACGATGCAGCAAAAAAAAAGAATTGCTGAATTGGAAAAATTTCAGATGGCATTCGAAGCTTCAAATCTCAAATCCAACAATTACATCGGAATTGATGAGATGTTCGTCGTCGACGACAAACGAAAATCGTTCTGCCTCAAATTCCACTGAAAATTTTCAATTCCATTTTTATAATTTATTGATTTTGCCTTTCCAAAAATTACGGTTCGAAAAAATCTTCATTCTATTTACATTATACATTCCAAGTAGTACATGATGATAAAAAGCACGCGTTTTTACAAGAAAAAAGTGGTTGTTGGAGTTAAGACGAAGAAAAACGAATTCCAAGAGCCCGTAGATCACGTGGGGGGGGGGGTCGCAAAAAAAGAAGAATTAAACTAAATACGCGTAAATTAGCACACTATTTTTTTAGCGATTTAAAATCTAAGCATTACAAAACCATATTTCTAAACGTGTTAATAAAAGAAGCCGAATTCGATGGGTTCGATAATGAGGAATCCTCGTAGAAGCAAATGTAGCTGTCGGAGAGAAGTCGGCTGACAAGCGGATCGATCGAATCCTTGCTGAACATTGCCTGCAAAATTTCGGCATTTAGCCAATTTTTCATCATCAATGAATCTACGTGGCTTTCACTAGCCAAAAACTGTCCGCAGATGAAAAACACATTTGAAACGATTTACCTTTATCTGTCCAGTTTCATCAGCTTCTTTGAGTCGCTGCCAACCGCCCATTGACAAAATATAAGACATATCCGCGCATTCTTGAACCACCGGAACATTGAATCCGTCGGACAAACCTGCAAAAATCGAATCGGCTATGGTTCGCGAACCACACGATATTCGAACCTTCGCGATCCGCCATCGAATCGAAGAACACCCATTGGCCGGTGGACGTTCTCACGAATGCGACATAATGCGATGTCTCAATGCACAACACCGCTGTCAGCACCATTTTGTGCGAGTTCGGCTTCTTTTGCGGCCTCGGCGGCGGCATCATATCGCGACGGAGATGGTCCGAGATTTCGGGAAGGAGGTGCGATTTCGCGAAACACTTGTCGCAGTAGACAATCTGCAAAACGCCCACAATTCTCTGATGACGATGCTAATTGAGTACCTCGTTGAAGAACACGCGTCTCGTGAGGAAGCACGTCGGACAGTAGACTTCGGCACAATTTCCGCATCCGCTGCAGGCCGGAACGGCTGCAAAGAAAGAATCGAATTGAAAAAAAAAACGTGTCACAAATTGAATTTTCGGCTTCAATTGCAATTCGAGTGCAAAAAAATGTGTTTCGAAATTCGGTGAAAATCGATGAAATGAAAAAATGAGAAAAGTCTCTTTGCTGTTTATTTCTCCCCCGCTATTTTCTCTTTGAAAAAATCGCGATATTTTTTTTTCTCAATTCGAACCTCCAGCAACGAACGGCGTGATGTCAATTTGCTCCAACGGCAGAATTTTGTCGAACACCTTCTGTTGTCCATATCTCGGCAATTGCATGATGAGCACCGGCGGCGGCTTCACGAATTTCACCTGAGCCGCTCGCATATGCCTCTCGAGCAAATGTTGCGACGTCGCCGCGCCGCCCTGCCAATCGCTGTCGACGACGATCGGCACCAAATATTGCGAGTCCTCCGATTTGTCAGCGCCAATTAGTCGAATGAACGGTTCGGCTTTGAAGATTTTGGCGAAAATGAACGCGAGAATCTCTTCGGGATCCTTCTCCTCGTCGGTCAGACCGCTCATATGCGGCATGAGCTCGGCGAGCAACTGACGGAGTCGCATCACGTGATCCGCGCGCACATAGTGGAATCTAAGCAATCAAGGTATAATTGAGCTGGAGTGAAAAACTCACTTTCGAAGTGGGAACACAATCTCATGGGCCAGTATCTTCTGGAACAATGCGGCGTTCTCGTTGCCCTTAATCGGCTTCTCCAACAAGCTGCAAAATTTTCGATATCGGACAATCACCACGTGAGAATCTTACAAGTCAAAATTGGTCGATTGCACAAACATTGCATACAGTGTCGCGTCGATGTAGCAACTGTTACAGTATCCCTGAATTCCCTTCTGCCTTCCGATCAAACAATGGATTTCCTTGGCGGGCGCGCACTTCTGCTTCTCCACACCGCTGTCGACACTTCCAAACTCGCCGTTGCGCGATGTCGACGCCATCGCCACTGAGTACGGCGGAAGAGCGACTCGACAGCGACGCAACGCCACCACCGGCACGAGAACCCCTCCGCTCACCGGACTTCCCATGTAATCCGGCGCTTCGCTGCTCTTCCGCCACGCCGACGGCGCGTCATTGTCATCGAGCTGCACGACGGCGGATCGCTCAAGACCGTCGCCTTGCTCGTTCATCGCGTCGCCGAGCCATCGGACAACTCCCGATTTTTGCGCGCCGAGATGGCACACGTTGACGCGACTCCCGATCTCGAAGCTCTCAATCAAATAGTCCTCGATATGCGCCATCGGTTTCGGCGGCAACGGTGGCGGTTGGGCGGAACGCGCGCGCTGTGGTGGTGGTGGTGAAGGTGGCGCATAGGGTGGTGGCGGCGCATCGAACAATGACTCCGAAGAGGCCTGTTGTTGCCCGGGATACCGATTCACCGGAACACTAACCGACGATCCGGCGGCAGCGGGACCACCAATATTTTGACTACGTGACGATGAAAGACGTCGGCGATGCGATGACGTCGACGGCGATGGCACGTCAAGTGTTGTCATCTCGACGAATCCCGCGTGCCCATTTTTCGCATTGAACAATTGCTCGCCGGAGAAGATTCCAGTGCCAGCACCGATTTGATTCTTCTAGAAGGCAAGTCAGAATAAGATCGAGGTTGATCGAAAAAAAAAAACGAAATTCTCACAAATTCGACACCGGCATATATTCCAGTGTGTCCTTTGAGATAGCCGATAAACTTGACTGTTCCCTTCTCAATGGTCCCGTTGTTGTTCCAGATGCACGGATCACCGATTCGGAATCTCAAGCGATCATCTCGAACCCTAAAAAGGCTAGCACGACTTGGTTAATGATTCCCAATGCTGACGTACGGTTCATTCTTCGTCGCCGGCTGATTCCTCTCCATTTTTATCGGAATCGAGTGCACACTTTTACTGCGACTCGGCGCCGATTGTGCCGATCGCTGAATGATTCCAACCATCGAAATCAGCAATTATTTCAATTCTTACCGAATAGTTCGACTCGTGATGCACCGCCTGTTGTTGTTGTTGGTGTTGGTGCGGCGTCGTTGGCGCATCGCGTCGCGTCACCGGAATAATTCGCTCTCTCGCCTTCCGCGACGTCTCCTCCTCGACATTGTTGTTCAATGTGACGGGACGCCTTCATCGCAAAAACCACAATCATTCTGGTTTCCAATTCCATCGCTTACCTGTTGTCGTACATCGCGGCGACGCCGCCGCCTTTCAGCGGCATGTGAAGTTGATTCGGCGAATAATAGGCGGAGCGCGAGTTCGTCGGCACCACCGTCGACGAGCCTGACATCAGCGAGTTCCAATTGGAGTCGAATTGCTGGCTGATTATTCGATCATGGGATGACGGAGGCCACTGGAAAACAAAATCAATGAATTTTGGAAAATTTCCATTCTCTTCAAAATATTCAAATTGCCGCTTAAAAGTGGAATTTCACGTTTTCCAACACTAAACAATATGGAAAAAAAATGGAACATGATGACATTTCGGTTCGAGACCAATATTTTGATTCAAGAAAAGATAAGAGAGAGAATAAAAAATCCGCGAAACGAAGAGGAATGTAAATAAATTCTCATCAGCGGACAATTTTCGAAAAACTCGTGAAAACGTCCGCAGCAGCAAAAAGCCAAAAGCCGAGGGGAGAAAGTCTCAAAACGATCCCTGTTTGATCTGTGAAGTAGGGAGTCATTAGCCAAATAAAACATACTACCGATTGGCGTGCTCTATTGCGAAAAAAAAAACGTAGGACCGGGAAAGGGGAGGGGGGTTCCACAATTTGATAAGCTGATAAGAATCGAATCCTAGTAGCAAGGAATAAATTTTGAAACGAGAAAACCCACAAAAATGATTGAGTGAAACCCATGGAAGCGAAGTAGCAGCTGATTGAGCTCAATTGAGTCGGCTCGCAATCAATACGATGAGAAATAGAGAAGAAAAATTGTCAAAAAAAAACAGAACGGAGGAAATGAGACAGAAACCAAAAAGTTTATGCTCCGGCGGCCCCCGTTGTTCCGTTGTTGTGTGTACTATTCGAAATAGCAAATATTGGCTCATTCGCATCGTGTTGCATTCCATCCAAAAACCACGATGAGTGTGCGCTGGGAAACTGGAGAATTCGAGAAAACGACGTGAAAGGCAAAGAGGAAGACGAGGACGAATTGATTCAAAATCAAAACACATGACTTATTTGTACAAAAAATTGCAGAAATTTGCTACATATTTGGACGAATGCACTTTTTCAACATCGATATATTTCCGGCTTTTTTTTTGGTTGACCGGATGTAAAGCTTACTTGATAAATCACATCTGCGGACATTTTTCAGCGTTGCTTTTTTTTGTCGCTTGGTGATCAAAAATTAATACGTTGTAAGGAGAAAAAAAAAACGATTTGATCGAAAACAAAATTGCGGAAAAGAAGATTGATTTATGGAGGAGAACGGATGGGAAATTGGAATGAGCACGAATCGACAAGAGCAGGCAATCGTCGCTTGGGATCTGCTCAGCAACAAGCTATGGTAGATCAAAAACCGACACCTTCGATGAATGCGTCAAGCACAAAAGAATTAAAATCGAGAAAAAGAGAAATCAATCATTTCTCAGATAAAAAAAATGAAGTACAGCAGAAGCAACGAGACACAGAAAAAAATTTTTCTTATTATTTCATTCAAAAAAAATCTATCAATTTTTTTTGCAAAATCTGACCAAATATAGAATATTTTCTGCACTTTTATGAGCATTTTCGGCTAATATTCAAAATTTTCTCAAAACGCGATTTGAAAAGCAAACGCAAAATACAAACAAAAAATTCATTTATAATAAAGCTTGCTCCATTAGTTTTCAAATTTCGCACCATTATTGCCAATGCCAAAATATTTGAATTTCGCGGGCAATTAGCACAAAAAAAAACACGTGGGAATTCAAATTGAATTTTTAGTCTCAATGAAAAAACAATTAGAATCAAATTTCGTTGAAAAGTTTCTCACAGGAATATTAAAATGCCATCAGGTTAATTAAACAAAAAATAGATTGAAAAACAATTAAATAATTGCAATTCGATAATGAAGGACAAGAGAAAGTCGAGGGTTGCCAAGCGACGAAACACAAAACTAGATAGATGAATCGAACGAGACCAATAAAAAACCAAAGAGAACACATGGCAAACAACAACGACAATAATAATAATAATAATCGAAATAATACACAAGGCTCTCTCTCTCTCTCTTATCCTCATTCCAGCAGCATTTTTATGAATGAGAGGCAGCGATCGACGAAACGAATGAATGGGGAAACGAGAGGGTCCGATACACCAACGGGGTTGAAAAAAAAACGGCTGCTGCGTTTGAGACGCGCAGACATTTTGGCGAACGCCTTTTATGGACACAACAACTCCTCTAGGCGGCTTGCCAAATTGAGACGTCGGCCCGACGACGCCTCCACCCAAATTGTTTACTTTTTTCTCTTCTTTCGCTTTTTTTGAGACATTCGAAACCAGATTGAAGTGAAAGTTGGTCAAGCCAATTTTTCTACATGCATCATGTTATAATTTTAATAATATATGTCTATGGTCAAATTAGAAGGTGTCTGGAACCAGCTAGAATGTCCGAAGATTCATATTGGGAAAGTGGCGGGCATTTTAAAGGCGCACAACGCAATTTGACAATGTTGGCTATGAGAATCAGCTTAAATGTCCGCAGATGATTTCATTGGAATTTCATCGTTGCCCGCGCTATTCGTAGAATTTCGCCACCGACGAACATTCCCGTTCAAAAATTTATGGCGCCAAATAAAAATTTCGAATAATGTTCTCTCTATTGGGAATTCAAAAAACTTCCTGGTTTTACGGAATACTGATTAGTTTGGAACAAGACGATGGCAATATTTCGAAATTGAGCCAATCAGACGCTGCACTCCTAATAATGGTATTTCTCATGCAAAAATGGGATTATTGAACCAATTTTGGAGGTGTTTGCAATATTTTTTGGAAAAAAAACAAGATGTTAAAAGAAAAAAATTTTTTACTTTTATTAATGAAGCTGATTTTTTGTAATTTCGAAGATTCCATATTACAAGTCATTATGCACCTTTAAAAATGTTACAGTAACTAAAAACCTATTCTGTTTCTGAAAAAAAAAACATTTTTGCTAAATTAATTTATTTTCTCTACCTTAAAGGATCATTGCATCCATTTCTGCAAAAAAAGGCAATAAAATAAATATTCGAAACAAATGAGCTACAGTAATCGAAAAAAAAAATTGATGGGAATGAATAATACGGGTCGTGATTAGAAAAAACAAAACCGAAGCACACTAGAAAAAAAAAGACGGAGAAGAGAATTGGCAAGTGAATAAACATGCTGTACGGAACCACATAATTGTAGCGAGACGACGACAAAAAAAATTGAGTGAGAAGGGAGGAAAGAAGACGAAGAAACAAGAAGGGTGAGCACAAAGAAGAAGGATGAAAAGAAGAAGAAGAAGAAGAAGAGGCATCGAAAAAAAAAACCACTTCATGTGATGTCATTCATTTTTCCAAAAACACAAATTCTCCATTTTTCCGACTCTTCCAACTTTGATGGTCCCTCTCATTTTAATTGCCCCCCCCCCACGAAAATGTCGTTCAATAGCGCGTTGCGAAATCGGTAGCAAAATGATAAATAAATAAATAATAAATAATGGTGGAAGCTCTGACAATTTGAAGTTAGCGAATCCGATAAGATGAATGTGGAGAACGGCGAACAATAGCAAACAAAAAAAACGAGCAAAAACTGGTCGGATTTGAAGCGGCGGCGGATTTTCTTTTTTTTTGTTGTTCTTGTTGATATATTTTTATAAATACAAATACGATTAACTGCAGTATACTCATTATTTAAAGGCACATCGGATTCTATGTAGTTTAGATTTTCAAAAAAAAAAACTGTATAATCCGACATGCGGAATTTCAATAGTGATATTAAAGGCGCAGGATGTACTTTTGGATTTATCCGAGTTAAAAAAAATTATTGACATTTTCTTTGTTTTTAAAGGGACATGAAATCATAAGTAACCCTCTAAAGTTTCATAGAAAAAAATTCTATACAAGGCTATTTCTGTTTTTTTTTTTTGCTTAAAAACCTATCAAAAGATTGATTGGTTCATTTTTTCGGGTCCCGTGGGGAAGATGCCCAGTTTTTCTTATCAAGATTTTCATAATGATGCTCTTTCCAAAAAACCAGAACATTTTGAAAATCACTTTAACATTTTTATTTTTTTGCCATAAAAGGGGCATGATAAATGAGAAATACTGAAGGAAGAAAGACCGAAAAAAGAGCCATCCAATCAGGAAAATTATCATTTTCCCATTTTACAGTTTCATAATTTATCGCAACAGCTGCTTAAAGTCAGGCATGATTTAAAAAATTTTTCGAATTTTGAATTCAAAAAGTTTCCTTTTGCAAAAATCGAATAGTTCATATCATAAAATCTTTCAAATGACCAGCTAATAGCGGTTTTTTTACAAATCGGTTATCAAAATTTGAAATTCGATAGCCAATAATAGTCCTAGTTAGTAACTAGATGAGAATGAAAACAGAAAATCGAATTCCGCAAACATAATGCTTCATTTATAATTCGAATGCAACACCTGGGCGACGATTTTCGAGTGTGGGCGAACGAGCCAAGATTTTAATCCGAAATTGCGCGAGAGAGCGCCACTATGTATTCCGTTATTTGCACAACGTCACCTTTCTTTGCAAAACAAAAAAAAACGCCAAAAATATTTTACCTTATTCTTTTTTGCGTACATTCTTATTACGTGAACAACCAAAAATTGATCAACTCTCAAAGAAAAAAATCACAAGGTGTGAATTAAATTGTTCAAGGTTTGTCGTTTCGGCCGATCCGAGTCAATTTTTGTCACATTATAAATCTTTAACAAGTATTGAAGGATTTCTATAACCAAAATATTACATTCGCAAAAAATGAGCTCATGTGCATTATTAAAATAATGATTAATTGTAAAATTAAATTGTAAATGCATATGTGCTTATCTAATAACGAGTTCTTTATTGGAATTGTATAATTATCCATTTCTAATTCATTTTGTATCACAAAATTACAAAAACACATAAAATCATTAAAAAAACCTAAACCCCCCCCCAATTTCAATTTCTAAACAGTCAAAAACGAAACTATTTTTTATCATTTATTTCAATTTCTACACATTTTTCTTTAAAAAACTACGACCGCGACGCATACGCAACGCGGACGAACCTCGGCCGCCGAAGGGCGCGAATTTGAATACTCGGCTTCGAAGCGACAACCATGAATAAATGTCGGCGGCAAACTACTGAACGAAATTAAAAAAAAAACATCGGCTATGTGCCAAGGTGAGGCAGCGAGAAGTACGATTGCGTACATTACACTATATCGTACGCGCATTTAATATTCAGTCAACGATAAACTTAAACCTACACTAATTTCGCAAATTTTAAGGCCCCGCATAACAGTTGTACATTTTTATTTCAATTTCTTGACAAATTTAATTTTTTGAGTTTTCCCCCCCCCCCAAACATTGAAACGATGAATTCCAAAAAATTCGTTTCTAGACTTAAATAGAAGTATAAGTTTGAGAAATAAAAAACTCAAACATTCGAGCTTTTCGGATGTTTCAAATTAAATTGTTCAGTGAATAAATTTCATTTAAACCGACATAAGGAATACGATACGAGACCCAAATGCGGTAAATTTACTAAAAGAAACATAGCAAGGAGCTCACCTGCGAATCAAAATCGACCTTGTACCACAATCCGTCGTTTCCGGGTCGCTCGCCAATCCATGACACTTTGCCGGGCACTCGCCGCATTGTTTCGCTCTGAAACACAAACAATCATTAACATTGAAGAATTGGGCGTTGGTCGTTGAGAAACAAGTTCGTCGAACCTCTAGTCCATCAAAAAAAAAGAAAAGAAATAAAAGTTGTTCAACAATGACGAAGGACAAAAAAATGGAATCGATTTCGAAATCCGATTATAAAGTTATTGCTTTTTGAACACCTCGAATCGATGAATACATTTAAACGGTGAATAGACGGCAATTTTTCACGAAATTTTCGATGTTTTGTTGAAAATTTTTTATGAAATATTGCAATGACTAGTTTTAAATTCGAAATATTGGTTACCATATTTGGAATCTATGATTTATTCATATTTTTACAAAAAAAAACAGTGTAAAAAAAATTACATGAAATCTGCCAAAGAAAATTAGAAAAATGTGTAATTTTTTATTATTAGGTTCGTTACTGAAAACATAGACGAAAAAGTAGATCAAAAATAAGAAAGTGCCCAAAAAGAAAAAAAATTGACTCATTTTGACATGAAAGCGATTCTACAGTAACCACTTAGCGAACCGTTCGCTAGATATCACAAATTTTAATATTCGATAGAATTTGAAGAATGTATTGAAAAGAATTCCCGGATTAGCAACTTTCAAGACTAATTTTCTAGCCCACACAGAACTCTTTTGTAGGTTCAATAGGTCAAAGTGTCAGCCCCTCAAATTTTCGCGCCAAGACCACTGCCATCGTTTTTTTTTTTGACATTTAGCCAATTTTCCGCAGTTTATTCGAATTATTTTTCAATAAATTCGAAATACCCAAAAAAATGAGAACAAAACACGAAATACATCGCTGAAACCAACCACCGATGACTTAACATACGAGGATTTTAAAAGGGTTACTGTAACAACAGTTTAAGGTAGAAGTTAATAAAAATTGAATTCAGAGGTTGACATCGGAATGCATGACCAAACTGCGCATTGTTGTTCTGTCAAGACATATTACAATCAAAAAACTGAACAAAATGACGAGGGCTTTTCACTTCAGAAGTGTAGGACAAAAGCACGATGAAAAAACTGAGAAAAAAAACGCTGATTTTTTTGTGTGAATGTTTTAATTAAAATTCGTCAGTTTTTTTCCAGAAATAACGAAACATTCGAAATGATTCATTTTTTTCCAACAAATTTTGGGCGTGAACAGTGATAGAAAAATGACAAAAAAATAAGAGAGAAACACATGACACACAAACAAATCGGTCGATCGACCGGAAACCGGTTCCACTTACCAAATCGACGGCTACACGTGAGCCTACGCGTAGATTCATCAAGAAGTTGAAGCGTTCAACGTCATGGTAGAGTTGGAGGCGCTCCGAGTTTGGAACTGATAATAATTGACTGAAAATTCTCGAAATTTCCGTCAAATTTCATCCGAAATCGTGAGACTTACAGAGCTTGAGAATGCTGGATACTCATCGCATCTGCGCTTGATATCATGGCACACTTCAGAGGGGCAGTTAATACCTAAAATGGAAACAATAATCAATGATTTCTCTAGTAAATTATTCCTAGTCGCATAAGAAAAAACAGAATTTCTTCATCGTATAGGATCGTATACGATTCTGATGAATGGTTTTTTGTAATCGTATACGAAACATCCGCAAAAATCCCAATCGAATTTTTCTGTCTCAGTGTATTAAAAATATTTGCATCAGAAATATCAATACTGACCTTAAAAATTTTTTTAAAAGAATGGTGCTATGTAATGTTCTGACTTTTTATTACTTAGTTTTTAGAAAAAGTGCTTAAGCAATATGGTGCCACGTTGCAAAACTAGGAATCCAAAATAATTTTAGAAAGAAACCCAAAAGAAAACAAGAAAGGTTTAATTTTCGCCATAATTTGTCGATAAAATAATGACAAACCTCCATTGGCTCGAGCAAACCTCCACGGGATTCCATCAATCGGCTCCTTTCATGCACTTCAATCACCTTTCTCCTTTTATGTCCATCGTCGATTGTTCGGAGCATCATTCCTGGCATCAGCTTAACCCGTACAATTTCATAAAATTAAAGAAAAAAAATAGACAAACTGACAACAATCATCGAGACACCTTCCAGTCTTCCATTAATCTCTGCCAATAAATATCCATTTATCTGTTTTCGTAGAAGGACCACAACAAAATCTTCTTTTTCGCGGTATGATTTTGGACTAAAAATTCGAGAAATTGTTGAAAAATTTCGAAAAAACAAAAAATTCAACCTGTTGGACAGTGAAATATCGTCGATATCGATTAATACACCTTCCGCAGGAACGGAACTGTAGTCAGGTTCAAATCTGAAATGAACAACGTCTTTTGAAATTCGGAATTTAGCAAACGAGCCTAGAACATGTTGGAGCATTGTCGAAGATTTCAAAACCTTCTAATAGATCCGCAACTTCTATTTTCGGACGATTCTGAGCAAATTTCAATTTTTTTTAATAAAAATAATAAAAAATGAAAAAATTACTTTTCACTTTAATTTCATCAATGGAATTATAATTCCAGTAATTAGCAGTAAAAAATAATAAAATGAGAACTTTTGATTTTTAGTATATTTTAGACTGAAAAGATCATAAATTCCAATTTTTAAATATATCTTCATTGTCTGCAAACACCGAAGCGTGCATTTGTATAATGAAGGAATTGGTGTGTTGAATGCAAGTTTCCATTCAAAATTTCAAGTAGTTCCACAAAAAATTCATAATAAATCTTTAAAAAAATTATTTACCTTGTTAATTTCAGGTTCATTTGAATAACGGGTTAGATTTGGTGGTGGAAGGTCCTCAAATTATTAAAATTAATTGTAAACAATTATTTTTGAATTAAAACCTGTTCTAATTCTAATAAATCGAATCCGGCTAAATGATTGTGAAATTGATTCATCTGCAATAAAATCGAACTGAAAAGTGGTGGCGAAGTGAAAAAGCGCACGGAATTTGGATGAATTGGACGCGAAAACGAAAAATGAGAGCAAACAGAAAAGTCATGTCCAAACAATTATCACACGAACTTTCGCATTAACCCAATTGTTTGGATGAGAATGTTAATAAATTATTGACTGCTTTGTGACTCAAAAAATGACTCAATTAATAATATTTGAAAAGGTTGCGAGGCACCGTGCGTTTTTGGTTCAAATATCACACATTTTTATCATTACGTACTGATAACAAAAAATTTGTGACGAATTACGAAATCGAATCGAATAAAAAGAGTTTTGGAAAGAATTCTGGAGTGAAGCGATTTGACCGAAACGCCTCGTGGATACCGGTTTTGCCGCGGTGGTCACTTGCAGCGCAGCAATCTAAACAATCATATAATATACAATTTATAAACAAATTGATTGGATGCTTTATAAACTATGAATTATTGGAAAGGTGGACACAAAATAAATGAGGCTTAGAGAGAATGGACCGAATTCTCCGTGATTATAAATATTTTTTCTCTATGATTATAAATATTTGTGAAATAAAAAAAGCAGCATGTGAAATATTTTAAACAAATTTTTCATTTTCAAAAAAAACACGGTCGCCTCCGCGATTGCTTTGACAATTATGATAGTAATTCGAAAAAAAGGCGAGCCGATTTCAAGGAGCATTCTAAAAAGTTGTAAACATTTTCTCGAAGCGAACAATTTCTTTGAAATGCAATTCGACTTTAATCTTCTTTTCTGTGCCAGTAAAATAAATTTGGTTCAGATTGTTTGCCCAAATTGTAATGAATCGTTTTTTCCATTTTTTTTTCATTCTTTCGGTAAGCAAACTTTTCGTTTTGACAACGAAAAATAGAAAGTGAAACTACGGTACTCAATGGCCCCGAGTGTTTGCGGATTCGGCGCCATATCTGACGCGGAAGTTGTGAATTTCAATTTTTAAGCTTCCAACGCATTTCCCTAATCGAACCACCATAAGTTTTAACTTTATTTTTTTTCTGTAATGATTCAAATGAAATTTTTTAATTTTTGAAGTGCTTACCGTTACACAAGACCTTGAAGTGACACTAAAATTGTGCAATTTAGGAAAAGCTGAAATTTGAACTTTCAGAATATTGTTTCAACGGGTAAACTCGATTTGTGATATAGGAAAATGACCGAAGAAAATGTAACAACAAAAGAGTCGGCGGAAAATCAAAATCAAGGTTCACAAGTAAGGAGATTTTGCAAATTTTCAATATTTTTGGATCACGAAAAAATTACATCGATCTATATTTAGGCTGTGAAATTATCACTAAAAAGTTAAAGGAGACTGTATGTGATAATTTTCAGGAGGATAGCTTGAAGGATGAAGCCAAACGATTCGCGCAAGCCGTCAATGAATCCAGTGTTCGTGTTCATGGAATGTCTTATGCATCCTTGACAAAGACGATTGAGCGGGCTTCAGGTTTCACGATTTTTTTTTTATTATTTTGTTTTAACTTGTTTTTTTAGAGGTTCCTGAAGTTTTCGTAAAAGCTCTTGTCAAAATGAGTGCATCGGCTTCAATGCGTCGCTATGTGCAGCCAGCTTCATTTCGATACGTCGCCGCTCTCATCACAGCTCTCGCCAAGCATAACTTTGCAGCAACAATTCGAACGTTGTCGCAAACTGTACTGTCCAATATAGCTATTGTGCCAAATTTGAGGTTGAAAAACAATTTTTCATTTTACCATTATCATTTATTTATTTTCAGCGATTCATCGGCTTTGTCGCAAATCCCAACATCAAAATGGATGCTTTCACTTCTGGAATCTCCGAAAATCTCGGAGTTACCGAAGGATGACGTCCAGATTATTATATCTGCATTAGCCACATTGGCTTATTATATTTCTGCTAGTAGCTCAGCCTGGAAAATCTTCGCAAGAAAGTTGAGAAATGTTCTGAAGGCTAATCCCAATTTGAAGACATTGATCGAAGAGGAGCTCAAGGTTATGAGCAAGGAAAATCCCGAAAAGTCATTGGTTTTGATCTCGGCCGTTTGCAAAGTATTTAATCGTTCATGAAATATGAATTGTATGTTTTATTTCAGGCTACAAATGCTGAATTCTGTACTTCTCTATTCGTGGATCTTATCACGAAAATTGCGCTTTTGGCAAAAACGGTTCCACCTGAGAACGTGATCAAAGCCAGTGTTGATTCTGTGAAAACATTGCCGGAAAAGGTTTTCAGCGACGAGATAGTTCCAAATATTAAAAAGGCGCTTCTGAGAGGAGCAGAAATTGCCATTTATGGTATAAATCAAACAATTTTGGCGTTGATCCAGTCATGTTCTAGGTATTCTGACTATTGTTGACAATGTTCCGTTTTCCGTGGATGCGACCGCTCTCGATTTGCTCAAGGCAATCACAAGTAGGAGTTTCTAAACGTAATAAATTGTCAATATTTCTAATTTTAAAGGCTCTTTGCAATCATCCGATGAGAAGCTGAAGAATTCGGCGATAAATATGGTAGTGGCATTGACGAAACGCGTCCAGCCGTCGGTGCTCAGCAAAGTTGTCTCAACACTTTTGGACCAGTATTCAGGTATTTTTTCCAATTAAAAAATTTCCTACAATAATTTTTTGATTTCAGCTGCAAAGTCTGCGGAAAATCGCATTGCTCTTCTTCAAGGAATCTCGAAAATCGCTCAAATCACCGAATGTCAGGACATCGACAAAATTGCTGATGATATTATTGCGAAAACTACCAAAGCTGATAAAGATAGTAAGTGATATTGAAGAGAATTGCCAAGCATTTTTGACGCTTTTCAGCGCATGATGGTACTGTTGAAGCTCAATGGTCGGCAGCTGCTGAATGGGCTGCTCGATTGAGCACTATAACTCCGGGACTGATCGCAGCTTTCAAGGTTTGTTTTCCATTAGATTATGTCATTATTATAATGCATTTTGCAGGATGCCTCGAAACAGCAACCTGCTGTGAAGTATATTGTCTATCGTGCTCTTCACAACATTCTCGAAAAACGCGATATGTCCTTGCTACCGGAAGGCGTTGATTTGAAGCCCCTTCTCACTGAAATCGACACAGGACCCAAAGGAGAATTGTGCTCCATTGGATTGGCACTGATACTGCTCAAAACAACGAAGAAGGGTTCGGTCGAGTATGTTAAAGCTTGGGGTCGCGCAGCCCACGCGGAATCTTTATTCCGGGTAAGAATTGGAGGATGAAACGAGATAATGTTATCCAAAGTAACAGCGATTATCGTTTAATTCACATCTGAATCCATAAAATCTGAAATGATCTGCAATCGTAAAATGGCGATTTGGTCATTGTGCGATTTCGTGATTTCGGCCATATATGTAAATGTATTAAACGAATCGTTAAACGATTGAATGCAATTTCGTTGCATATATAAAAGCGAATGCATTTCAACGAAATGCGTCATTTTTAGTTTATCCATAATTAATAAACGATTTCCTAATGGCACTATGCGGATTTCTGACGAAAACTGAAAAAAAAATTGTTAATTCTTGTGTTTTTTTTTTTTGCGAAATCTGTATAGTAATTTAATGGTGTTATAGGATAAAATTCTATCAGCGGCAAAATGGCAGGACGCGATTGCTTGGGCGAAACTTGTCGAGGTTGTAATCTTGCAGCGACCAGTGACGGATACGGTAGCTCATTCAAACAATATTAATTCGACAATGTGTTCTTTAGAAGACCTATCCATCGCATATTCTTCGAGGATTGTCGCTTCTCCTTTTCTGGCCTCATTGGAAGGTTCGCGCACAGGCGATTAAAAGTTTGAAGAATATTTTGGATGATGAGAAGGCACTTTTCGCTGAAGAGCTCGCTGATTTGATCTTCTCGGAGACAACTAAAGGGAATATTGATAATGTCTGATGATCTGTACTTGATTTTCGCAAAAAACGTAATTTTCAGCTTTTACGAAAGGTTCCGAATTGTCCAAGTTCGGAATGGGTTGTTCCTGGAGAGTGGTACGTACAGGTAAAATTCAGAATTCAAATAGGCAAATAGTTAAAATTGGATTTAGGCTTTGAGACTTCTACTCTCACCACCAGGACCGGAGCTCGATAAACTGGCGATTCATACGCTTCTTCTTGCTTCCGTCAAAAGACTTGGTTTGCAATTCAAAAGAAATTTCACTAAATTCAATTTTTTTAGTGGAAGTTGATGGTTCGGTATGGCTTCGTTGGGTTCATGAGCATCGGGAGTCGAAAACATGGCAAGCTAGTCAGAATTTCCGTGAAACGGCGATTATGAGAGTGTTGAAGTGTGAAAATCGCGATGTCAGGTTCGCACTTTTTGTTCTATATTTTTCAAAGCTTTATTAATTTTTTCCTCAGAAACACAGCTCTTATTACTCTTGTCGCTTTGAACGACAATCAATTGAAGAATGATTTGTGGGCTCACGTTGAAGCGAATATGAAGGAGATTGATGTGAAGGATTATTCGAAGGTGACCGAAAAGGAAATTGCGATTTACAAGTGTCCAGAGGGACAATTGTACAACACGTCGGTTCTTGATTTGTGAGTTTGTTTGCATTTTTTTTTATTCAAACGAATTTCTCGAATATTATGCGTAGCGAGCATCAATTTTACCATCATTAGTAATACACAGATTTTATCTATTGCTGTTATGCAATTCGTGAAAGCTTCGCCGCGAACCGTGGCGCGGATAATCTCATAATTGCTCGCGAACGGTACTGCACGCAATTGCCATCTTTGGTGCTACCGACGCAGGTGCTACGACTCGAATAATTAATTTTGGATTATAGCGATGAAGCAGCTGGAATCAAAGAGCAGAAAGGACGGCGCGAAGATCAGCTCATCGAGATCGAGCTCATGTAATTTGAATCCAAATCGTGATTTTCGGCCTAAACTATCGATGTTTTTTCAGAAGGGAGCTTGCTGAGAAACGAAGAAAGGAGGGGAAATTGTCAGCGAAACAAAAGCAAGTCATGGAGAAGGAATTAGCCAGTGAAAAGGTAATTCTGCCATGTTCCGTTTCAGTGTTGGAATGGAATATTAAACAGAAAATGGGTTTGCAAATTGTTTCAAAAATTAGAGGGTGATATTCAAATTTTTTGCCAAATTACATACATATAATAATGAGATACTATTTATTTAAAATTTAAGTAATGAACTAAATTCTCAAATATCAAAATTTCTGCACGCACTTTCATTATAAAATTCCGTAATTAGTTTAAATTTGACACTGTTTGCATGCATATTTTCTAATTCTATTTGAATAGACAATTGATCATCACAAAAAGACACTTAAATCTAGCTCCATACGGTAGATGGATTATTTTTATTGATTTTTTCGTTTTCCGAATAGTGTTTTTGGTGCGAAATTCAATATTTTATAAATGTGATGATAGCGTTTGTTTATGTTAGAAATTGCGGTGTGTGATACATTTATAAACTCTGAGATCAGCAGCTCACTTGATTGTTTATGTTTGTCGTTGCACTCATCTTTTTCCAAACGGAAAACTCTTTCTGTCAAACGCGATTTGTGCACATTTTTTGTACCGATTCGATTGTCGAAATGAACCGAGATCAAATTTCAGCCAAATAATTGTTCATTGTTTGGTTTTTTTGCTGGAAATTTGTTTAAAAATTGTGTAATAATTAGAGAATTCCCAATTTAACGAGTTCATTACAATCGTTTTTTTAAAGTATCGATGTCATTCCTCAATGTTTGTAAAAATGTTGGAAATTTGGAACTTGACTTCGTTGTTTTATCTTAAACATTTCAGGAGATTCGGGATGAGCTTGCACAGCTTTACGAAAACGCTGAAACTAGACTCGACGAGGCGGCCGCGATGGTGAATGCCGACAAGGCGGGGGCGTATTTGAGGTGAGAAATGGCAACAATTAGAAAAATGAGTAGAGCTTTCTGTTGATATGGCACAAAGCGAATGAAATTGTTTTGTGCTGAAAATTTTTCTTGATTTGTAGACATATTTTGTGAATTGATTTGATTCACCAAAATGCCCCGTTTATAACCGCACATCTATCTCAAATTAATAATCCCTGATCACTACCAAAATTTTCGATTCTTTCAAAATGCACTTCGAACGGCAAAAAAGTTTGGAAACGATAGAAAAAAACGTTTTGGAAAGGAAAAACCTGTAGCTTCGAAACAATTTGGAAACCATCGAGTTCAATCAAATATTTCTTTGAAATCTGTTGTCGGTATTCCGATCGTTGCACTGAAATCATATTTCTGAAACCCCTCCTTTGTACCCCGGAAAACGCGTTTCGAATAGCCAAATTTGATGTGTTTCTACATATAAAGCAATTTGATGACACGTTTTATGCGCAGGCGATCGTATTTAAAGGTGCGTACACATTTATCGCGCGTCGCTTTTTAATGCATATAAACTGTGGGAAAAAACTGAACGATTTTTTATGCGTTTTATTGTCCGAATTTACTAGTTTTGAATGCCAAACGAATTATTTTATTATCTCTTCTAATTTATTTTGCCATATTTGCAGATATTCTATCTTGTTCGATTACTGCCTTCCACTTTCAAAGTGTTTACTTGTTGCCGAAGAAGCGGCGAAGCTTTTCCTTGCTTATCGAGACGCGTGTTTCGAGCATTCGGAAGATTACCTCGGTACGTTCTTTTCCTTATTTATTGCCATGAATTCATCTTATCTTCATTCTTTTTGTCGAGCAATCCGCCATATTTCATTTTTATTCACTTTTTTTTCTTAATCTTGTTCTTTTTTTGGAAAATCGTTTTTTTTGTCTTTTAGAAAGTGAAAGTTTTGCAAACATTGAAAAAAAAAAACATGACGGATTTTAATTTTTCGCTGTGAAAAATTGAATATCCGCTCTCCTCTTTCCGATTTCACTAAAACGCATTATAAATGGGAAATTCGAGAAAATTCGGCGTCATCCTCCCTATAAATTGAATATGTGAAATATTGCTGTTTTCCTCTCATCCTCTCATAATTTTTGGTTTAGTGAGCTTCATCTTGTTATTGTCCTTCAATTGGAAAAAAAAAACGAAAATTTTATGAGCTGAAACGATTCATGAAAAATTAGTTTGATTTTTGAGCACAGAGCAATTTGGACAAATAATGATTTGAATGAGAATTTTTTGTTTTTGCAAATTTGCATTGACGAAAATTTGAAAATTTGGATGCGTTCCAGAATTTCCGCGGCGAAAACTTTAATTTGTTCTCAAATTGTTGGAAATCATATTGTCAACGTCGTGCGACTGTAGAATATTGGTGAAATGTCAAAAAGCTATGAAAAATGGTCCTGGCGCGAAACTTCATTCGTAGATAGATGGACGAAAATCACAGTTAAGCTAAAAGGGCACATTTCTGGGTACGGCGTAAAAAAATCTTACTCAACTCTTTTTCGCACATATTTAGCCAATATGCTTTGAAAAAATGCCATTTCCATGCAACCCAAACGCAAAAATTAAGCAAAAATTGCTTTTCTTGACATCAATTTGCTTTTCAAAAATGAAACGGACGTCTTCGAAGAAAGCGGGACTAAAAAGGGAATTATTCGGCATATTCGGTAACACGTCTGCTGTTTTATTGAACTCGCATGCTTTTTTTCTTCCGACATTTAGGTATTTGTTCTTCCAATTTTTATTACCCTCACATGGATTGCGAAGTGCTATTCGGAATTGGACCGCAAAAGATGGATGATAGCGCCCCCCGTTGGTTGTCTCGTGCGCTGTGTGCGGCTCGGCCAGGTGCGCTTTGTCGGAGACATCGCGTCTCACACGTAATTAGGCGACTAACTGGCTGCCGCTGTGCGATGCGCGTGTCTGCCCGGATTTGCTTACTTATCAGATCGTCTTAATCTTGGTTGTCGCCAAAAAAGTTAATCCCTATGAATGGCACCTGTCCTTAAACGAAGGGATTCAAACATGCGGAAATGCTCATCGTGAACATTCGAGGCTTTTGTTGTTTTCGATGATGACGATGAAAACCAATTTTGTCGAGCGAGGCGGCCAATTTAATGAAAATGTTTTTTTTTGCAAAAACGGGCGCACGGATTTTGCACGACGCCTACGATAATTATAGCTATGATATGATAGTTGGTTGGGTGTAGCTGACGAATCAGATTAATACTCAATTGTGTAGGAGAACGATTTGTGTGCTACAGATTGAGATTATCGATGTTGGAGACGGGTGACCTTAGCTTTACACCTTAAGAATGTTGTGAGATTGGCAGATAAGAAGATTAAATGACAGTGTGTTATTTGCAAATTTATGCACCATCGGGGCAATAAAATTGGGCAATCAGCAATCAATGAAATTTATCTACCAATTTTAAAACTATTTTAATCTAACCTTAAAAATGGAAGGAAATTAAAGGTTGTTCAGATTTTTTTAAAAATTATTTTGAACCACTTCTTTCCTATTAAAAATAGAATTTGTTTAAGTTACAATGAAATTAGAAAGAAAATTCTTTAAGTGAATCCCTTAATAAACACTGTAAAAAATCATATGCAAATCCGAGAAAAACCTTTTTTACACCTATATTTGAATCTTTTTCGAAAATCTGCATAAACGCATAGATGCGAAAACAAACTATTGGAAACATGTGACAATAGCAAAAACAAAGACTTTTTGTATTTTTTTTCTCCCATTTTTTGATGCATTGTTGAAAGAATAAAAGGTTCTGCGCTTATAAACAAATTTTAATACAATTTAAGCGGATAATGGGACAATTTCAAAGCTCACAAAATGTCCCGGAGCCGGCCTGTGACTGGCTATGTGATAGATTTAAACGGAGTTGCCCTTGTACGAATTTGTTCGACTTCTTTCCCACCAGATGTTTTTGAAAAATGTGTTGAAATTGGTAAACAAACGCGTTTGAAGCGGAGATACGGTAGACGAGGGCAAATGTGTTTTCATTCGCATCTGGTGATTGCCGAGAAGAAAATTCTCGTCGCTTTTGTCTTTTAAAAAAATTTACATTTTCATTACGTATTTTTTCTGGATTTTTTTTAGTCGCTAGCAGGGTTTCGCTTTCGACGTCACCAAAATGAAAGAAGAAAAAAAAAACGACAACAACGTTGTTCTCCATGCCAACCGTGTGCCTCGCCACATATTTATTATAGAATTTCCTGTTTTGTAACTGATTAGCCAACGACTAGTACATATTTTATCAGAAGGATGCGGAATTTTAATGAGCACCTAATTAGGAATGGCGAATGAAATGTTTGGATAATTCGATTAGGAATCGTTGAAATGCGGACATCTCGCGGGTTTCTGTTTTGTTGTTTTTTTTTTGGTTTCCGATATGATTAAATTGTTTCGATGGTAGAAATGAGTCAAAATGAAAAATTATAAATAGAAATATGTAATCTCGTTCGTCACTCGTTCCATTAACTTAATGCGTGGATAATGGTGCTCAGATTATGGTGTGGATGCATTAGATCTCGAAACAAGACGATTATGCGATTACTTAATTCACGGCCATGATGTGGGGATTTTCGGAATGAATGAGAAATGAATCCGAATTCCTGGTTTTTTTGGTTTTCTAATTGGATATTTTACCGCGCATTTTTCGAGCATTTAATTAGCTCGAAGTGAATTTCGCAAATGGAATACGCCTACACGGATTTTGTTGAACGTCAACCAATATTTGTTTCTCATTTGATTACAAGCCGAATAATCGGTTTTGTAGTTTATCATCAGATTCGTTGTTCTATAATTCTGAAATTTTTGAGTCGTAATTTATTGAAAAATTGTCGGAGACTTCTGCTTGTTTTTTTAAATATAGAAAAATGCAGCTTCAAGAAATTTTCTAGTTTAGGCCGGATTTGACGAAAATTTAATATAAGCCGATTCATTCTCGAAATTCTTCGCCGTCTTTTTTTTTGGATGTTCGCGTATGACAAATATAATTGGCAGCAATTTTGCTCAATTTTCTGAATAGTTCTTTTTGATATTCGAATAATTGCACGTATTATGTGCCCATTATAATACATTTCGTTTCACACTTGTTGAATTTCTAATTGTTTTCCGTATTCGTTTCGTTTTTTTTCTATCACCAATCGTGTTTCTCTGCGCTCTCTCGAACTCTCGTTCGACCCCCTCCTCTCTCGACGTTGTATTCGTCGAATGGGCGGAGCCTTGTCGATGCGACCACGCCCACACCTCGTTGTCGCCCTTTTGGCTTAGCACACTGCTTGAAATTGTCATTCGCTCATGATGCGGCGCGCCTGAGCTGTCCGTATTTCTATATTCTCTATTCCTGCTCTAGTATTCTGGTTGCAGAGGAGCTCGTTGGTAGCTGCTGGCTTCGAGTCATTGGAAGTGCCTATAAGATCAAGGGATGGTGCGACGAGCCGCTGGAGAAGGCGCTCAAACGCGTGTTCGCGCTTCTCAACGAACGCGCGTTTATCGTTGACACCGGAGATGAAGATGACGACGTGAGTTTTAGAGTCCGAATCAATTTCCATGAACAGACCAAAAATGTTGTGGTGGCAACCTTTAGAGACGGCTATTGAATGCAGATGAAGGAATTTTTTGTTTTACAGGAAGCTCTAATCTTTGACGATGAGATAGTTGGAGCTCCGCAGCTCACATTCCTCTACCCGATGATCAAAATGGTTTTGAATGGAAAGTATCCGGAAGTGATTCGCGAAGATGTGCTCAATCTATTGAGGAGTGCGATGCATAAGAAATTCTTGCGCGATCGCGAGGTCCTAACGCTGCCGATGGCTGAATACTCGAGTATGCTGATGAGATACTTCACCGACAATTTGACGGGTCTCGCGTATTTGGTAGTTGACGATTCGAAACGCGCGATATTCCTATATTTTTTTTGTAGGCACTTCGACAATTGTTCCGACTTGCCAATGACACGAACGATATTGGGCCGAGAATTCTCGGAATGGTCCGTGAAATATTCGGTTATGTGACCCATGATAATTCGGAAGTTCGACCAGCTGCTCTCGAGGTTTGTCTATAATTCATCAATGAATCTTAATACGATGATATCATCGCTTTCAGATACTTGCTGCTCCGCAACTCTTGATGCGAATCGTTGTCGAATGCGGTCTTGATGCGTCGATCAGCCAAGAAATTCTCATTCGCGTCTACATTGCGCGTTTCGATCCCGTTGAATCGATTGTCGAGTACGCGGATCGCCTTTGGGACAGCAATCATCTGCAGATTAAAACGGTTATGGCGCTGCCGCTTGTCGGTGAGTTCTTGATAGAAGGCAGCGATTTCGGTGAGAAGAGAATACGCCTGCAGAAATTGAGATAGCGCGCGGGTTTGAGGGAGCATTGATAAAAGCAGTATCGTGATGTGTGTGTGTGTGTGTGTGCACTTTTGATTAGGCGATTGCCAGAGTTTTCGAGAGGAAATTATTTAGCTGAATGAGAGATTCTACTTGTTTATGCGCAATGATGATGGAAATTTTCAGATGAATGCGTCTCGCCGTCGGCTCTAGTTCGCGACTCTGCTTCTCGCGCCCTCTATGACTTTGTCTCGGAGCAACCCGATCAAATGAAGGCGATTCTGAAAAAAATCGATGAGGTTGGTGTGCATTTTGGGGAATTTCGCGTGATAACCAAAATCAATGGAGTAAAATATTGAGTGAGGATCGAGGGGGCTCTTCATATGGGACATACCGGCTATGACACATTACGCGAAATGCTTTCAACGCTGAAAGAAACCATTTCGAAATGTGGCATGGCTGGTGTGCCTTCCCGCTAATTTGAAAAAAAAAAAACGAATCACTCGAGCCCCCCGACCTTGATGGGACATTCTGGCAATGACACTCGTGATAATTTGGAAGCCGTTTGCGTAAAGGACTTCCGATTATCGGGTGCCATGGCTGGCGTGATCTCCGCCGTGTTTTGCGTGTGTCTAGGAAGCCGACGCGTCGAGTCGACGACAAAATGGACTATCCGGGCTATGACATTCAATGCGAATTTTTGTCCAATGGCATCGCGACAGAAAACTGCGTGAACGTCATGACTCGTGTCGATTCCGGAATGTCGACTCCGCCAGGTTTATTCTGCGGACGGTACGGGCTATGACACAAAAGCGAATCGAGATGCGCATGAGATGCTCTCGATTGCTTTCGTGGCATGGCCCGTGTGCTTCTGCGTCATTCTCATAATTGTATTTTGTGATTGTTGATGTCTTGTTCTGAAATTTTGATTCTTCTTTCGGACCATCCCTACCCGTCTCCTAATTTCAGACTTATAAGGATTTGGCGATTGTTCGCGGAGCGATATTCGATGAGGTTGGACGAATGCAGCGCGATGCGGTTGATGAATGGGAACGACGATCGGGTATTGGAATCGCGCTCATCCTTCTCGCCACAATTGTCAACGTCGAAGACGCCGAAGACTTGATTAAAATTGTAATTAATAAAATTGTTTTTATTGAAGTCAAGCTCCGAATTGAATATGAGAATCATATTGATAGAAGATGGAATACTGTAGAATTTGAATATGAACTGGAATACAATATGGAAATTGTGGGAAAATATTATAGTATTCCATTTTCGACAATAAGAGATTATATGAAAGGGAAGACGTTGAATGAATACATTAATGGAGCTTGGCTTCATGTTTTCTTGTTGGTTTTCAGTAATCTTAAAGGCGCATATTGAAGGAAAATAGTGATATTAAAAAGAAATGTGAAGAAAATTAATTTCACTGTTTCAAAATAGACATTTGAAAATGTTAAAATTCAAGAAATTTTGGCGCTAGATTAATTGGAGCCTTTAAAATTATTTAAAATTAATTTTATTTCTAGACTGATTAACCCATATTATAGGTGGCGCCTGATGGATTGAGCGATCGTAGTCCGGAATGCCGAAATTCTTTGCGAAACGCGGCCGTTGAGACGATTCGCCGACACGGCGCTGCAATAATGCCGAGATTGTTGCCATTTTTGGGTAAATTTGTTCGAATCGCCAACACCCTTCTTTTTTTTTCAAATCAATCGTTTGCAGAGAAATTGTCGGATGAAACTCCGGCTGGTGCCGATCATGACAATCGTCGTCAAGGACTCGTCGTTCTTCTCGGAACGCTGGCGCAATACATTGATTCGACGGAGAAGGTTCAAAGCATTGTTGCGCGATTGATGGAAGCGTTGGCGACTCCGAGTCAGACCGTCCAGGAATCCGTTTCGCGTTGCCTAGCGCCACTGGTGCCGAAGATTCGCGACACCGCCAAGGATTTGGTGAGCAAATTGCAATTCACGTTGTACGAAGGCGAGACCTATGGAGAACGCCGTGGAGCGGCTTATGGAATCGCTGGATTAGTCAAAGGAATGGGAATCATTGCCCTCAGGGATATCGATCTGATGGCGACGATTCAGAAGAATCTTGGCAATAAGAAGAGCGCAAAACACAGAGAAGGCGGACTGTTGGCATTGGAGATTTTGTGCAGCTCGATTGGAAAATTGTTCGAGCCTTATATCATCAAAGCACTTCCATCATTGCTTCTCACCTTTGGTGATAATGATGCGAATGTAAGAAAAGCTGCGGAGGACACCGCCAAAGCAATGATGGGCTCAATGACTGTTTACGGAACTAAGCTCGTGCTCCCATTACTTCTTGAAGCTCTAGAAGATGACTCGTGGAGGACGAAGTGTGCGGCGGTAACATGAAAAAAAAGAAATCTCGATCTCAAAAATTTTCAGACCGAACTCTTGGGATCGGTGGCATATTGCGCACCGAAGCAACTCTCGTCATGTCTTCCCTACATTGTTCCGAAACTCATTGAGGTTCTCGCCGATTCGTCGTCGAAGGTGCAGAAGAGCGGTGAGAAAGCGCTTCAGCAGATTGCGAACGTCGTGCGAAATCCGGAAATCATTGGTGTCAGCAATCAGCTGATGGCAGGATTGATTGATCCGGCGAACAAGACGAGCGCCGCTCTTCAGGTAAAGAGCATTCTGCAAACTATATCGAATCACATAACTTATTCTCAGGCGGTTCTCAACACCAAATTCATTCATTACATCGATGCTCCGTCTCTTGCTCTTCTCATGCCAATCGTGCGGCGAGCGTTCGAAGATAGAAACAGCGAGACGCGTCGCGTCGCTGCTCAGATCATTTCCAACATTTATTCGCTTTGCGAGGACAAGGACATGGAAGCGTATTTGCCGCACATGGTGCCGGGATTGCAGCGATCGTTGCTCGATCCAGTGCCGGAAATTCGTACGGTTTCGGCGAGAGCTCTTGGTGCGGTCGTCTCGAAATCCGGTGGAGCCACCAGCAAGAAGTTGCGCGACGAGGTTGTGCCGTGGCTCAAAGAAATGCTCGTCTCGCCGCAATCGACCGTCGACCGATCGGGAGCCGCGCAAGGATTATGCGAGGTGCTTGCCGGCGTTGGTGCCGAGCAGCTCGAGTTCGTCATGCCCGAGATCATCGCCGCCACCGAGAGCACGGAAGTTTCCGCTGAGACGCGAGACGGTTATATTCTTATGTACATCTACCTTCCAATGGTGTTCGGAGAGAAGTTCGTGCCGTATTTGCCGCAAGTGGTGCCGCCAATTCTCAAAGCGCTTGCCGATGAGAATGAGTAATATAGAATACGTATGAAAATCATTTTCTGTGTGTTTTTGCAGATATGTTCGAGCTTCTGCTCTCAAGGCTGGACAACGCTTAATTCAACAATATTGTGCACACGCTCGTCGCCTTCTCCTCCCTCAATTGCAATTGGCACTTATGGATGAGAATTGGAGAATTCGACACGCGGCCGTCCAGCTTATTGGCGACTTCTTGTTCAATATATCTGGAATCTCTGGAAAGTCAACCTCAACGACTGCCAATGATGACGACACTATGGGAATGGAACAAGCTGGAAAGGTTATTGTTCGCGCTCTCGGGCAGAAGGATCGTGATCGCGTCCTTGCCGGATTGTACCTCACCCGATCCGATTTGGCGCTGGTGGTTCGTCAAGCGGCCGGACACGTCTGGAAGATGGTCGTTTCGAACACACCGAGGACACTCAAGGAAATCATCAAAGTTCTTTTCGAATTGGTAAAAACCAACTATTTCTTCCTTTTCGATCCGCGATATTTTGATTTGTAGGTTGTCGACTCGTTGGCATCGACGTGCGAAGACCGTCAACAGATGGGCGCGCGTTGCCTTGGTGAATTGGTGCGAAAAATGGGTGACAAGGTTATCAACGATATTCTGCCGGTTCTTGACGCAAATCAGAAATCGAGTGATGTCGCGAAGCGCATCGGAGTCGCGATTGCACTTCATGAGATTATTGGAAATATGAGCAAGGAAGTGCTCAACCACTACTTGTCTTCGATTGTCGGACCAGTTCGCGATGCTGTCTGCGATGAGGATGAAGGGGTTAGAGAAGCTGCTGCGGACACCTTTACGGTTCTCTACCATGTTGTTGGAAATGAAGCGCTTGATGAGATCATCACTCCACTGCTGGAGTCGCTCACACCGGAACAAGATCATATTCTTGCGGGACTTTGCGATGTGATGAAGCAAAACAGTCGATCGATGCTTCCGTACCTTCTTCCTAAACTCACGAAACCCCCAGTCAATGTTCACGCTCTCTGCAGTTTGTCGTCGGTTGCTGGAGATTCGCTGAGTCGGCAGCTTCCGAAGGTTTTGGACGCCCTGCTTGCTGCGTGCGTTACCAATTCGGCTGATGATCCAATGATCGATTCGTGCGAGAAAGTTGTGACGGCGGTTACCGACGAAGATGGTGTTCCTGTCCTCGTCGACTACCTTATCAAGAGAGCCTCGGTGGATGCGAACGTCCCTGCTGCTGTCTTATTGAGCACATTCATCACTAAGAGTGGTGTCAATATCTCGCATTTGGCTGAAGACGTGCTTCCGGGAATGCTCCAACTTTACACTTCATCGGAGCCGCAAATTGTCGACCATGTTATCACGTCGGCTATTGCTTTGACGCAATCCATGGATCAGAAGGAACTTCAGGATGTCCTTCCAGCAGCCAAAAAGGCTATCAATATCATTGTTGCGGGTTCAAAGGGCAAACAGATTCCTGGTTTCGCGCATCCGAAGGGAATTCAACCACTCATCGGAATGCTTCGCGAGAGCATATTGCAAGGATCGACGGAGATGAAGGCGTTGGCGGCGGAGAGTTTGGGAATGATCGTCAAGGTGTCGGATGTTGTCGCGTTGAAGGCGCATGTTATCAACATCACTGGACCGCTTATTCGTGTGCTCGGAGACAGATATCCAGCAAACGTTAAGCTGCCGATAATCGAGACGCTCAGCAAGCTTTTGGACAAGGTCGATGCGATGCTCCGTCCATTCCTTCCGCAATTGCAGTCCACATTCCTCAAGGCACTTCAGGATCCGACGTCGAAGCCGGTTCGATTGGCAGCAGGAGGTGGGATTTGTTGCATTGACGATTTTTGAAAAGTATCTTTCAGGAGCTCTTGCTCGTTTGTTGAAGCTTCACATGAAGCCAGAGGTTACTTTGACCGAGATGTTGAAGTTCTTGGCGACGTGCCAAGATCAACAGCTTTTGTAAGAATTTGAAGTGGCATCGGAAAACGAATAAATGGTTTTTGTTTTAGGGAAACCTCTCTCGCTACGACTCGCGCACTTGTTGCTGTTGCTGCTCCGAAGCTCACCCCGCAAGTCGTCGAAGAGATCTACAAGGTCGCTGAAAGTGTCTTCAGTCCTCAAATTGAGAATGCCGGAGAGTTGGATATGTCATTGACGGCGTGCAGCGGAGCACTTCTTGGTGAGACGATCGTCAGACGAGAGGATTGGAAGACGGCTGAGAAGAACATGCTTGCCGCTGTTGGTTCGAATCAAACGCGATCTAGAATCAGGCAGGCGAAGGCTGCCGCTTTGCAGCAGGCCTGCGAATCGAATGCCGATGGATTGTGGAGTTCGGAGGCGAATGAAGCATGTCGGAAGGCATTGATGGCAGCGATCACCTCGACGGATTCAATTGTGGCGTGTTGTGCACTTCGAGCAGCGGCTCACATTCTTATTGCGAATGTTGATCGAGATCTGTTGGCCGCGGTGGCGAAGGCGATAAACCATCAGTCCATTGATGTAGGCTTTCTGGCTCATTCTAGAAATTAGTTTTGTTTCACTCAGGTTCGAAAAGCTTCGGCGGTTGCTCTGGGTCACGTCGGAGCCAAACATTTGCTCTCGAATGACTTTCTGAAGGTGATCGTTCCACAACTTGTCAACGGATGCAAAGAAAGCAATTCTGGAGTGAGATCGGCATCGGAATTGGCTCTAGTTCACGTATTCCGAATGAATGAAAATGAGGATCGATTTGACGTATGCCCATATGTTGTTTTCGTTGAAATCTTGTTCGTTTTTGCAGGCCTACCGTAATACTTTGGAGGGAATTGTACAAAAGAATCTCGACGAGACACGAGTGTGTTTGGCACGCGCCGTCCGATCCGGTGATATTGATTTGGAGAGATTGGGAACCACACTTTCAGTATATTAGGCGGATTGTTATATTGTTCTTTTTTTTGGTTCTGTTGGCATTCGATACTTCGTTGTGCGTTTAATTCGTGAAAATATTTATAAAATGTCTCCAATCCACATATTATTTCCCCTTTCGTTCTGGGTAATTCTAGTTTGTTTTCCTTCCCGATTTGTTGTTGTTTCTTTTTTTTAAATATTAAATTTATATTTGCGAATAAATTTGAAACCAAAAATTGAAAAAAAACCGTGGAAGACGTTTCGAAGAAGTTTGGAAAACATTTTGAAATATTTTTGATTCGAATGGATCAGATGAAATTGGGATTGTAGAATGCTCCAAATTCGGAGGCGATTCGCCGCTCTTGCTTCTGATTTGGCGTCGACGAGCGACAGAAGCAGATATCGACCGGTTATTGGGCTCGAGGTGAATTTTGAAATTTGGAATCATGATTTCGCGACCAGACCCAATAATTTATATTTTAAAAAATTATGAAAATCTTGAACCGTCGATTTTGTGAGAAATTCATAAAATTGAAGTCTTTTAATATAAAAAGTGAATTAATTTTTCAATTTCTTGCTAATCTAGAAATTTAAAGGTGCATGTTCAATTGAATACCCGAACCAAGCTGTTCTCGCGAACGTTGAACGAAGAAGCGCCACCGAATCGGCTTGTCGGACCATTCGACATGGCCACTCCTGGATGGTTGCCAGCGATTAACAAAAAATGCGTCATGGTTTGGTTCATCGTTCACCAAATTTGCTAGAATTCAACGAATTTCAGCATGCTCTCAAACTAGGCATGCTGTTGAATTGCGATATTCCGAAAGCGTCGAGATTCGATCGAAAACATTATTTCTACGCCGATATGCCGGCTGGGTAAGCCAAACGAGAACGGCGAGAGATTTCGAGAATCGCTTCAGATATCAAATAACGCAAACTGACGAGCCGATTGCTAAAAATGGAAAATTCGGCTTCTATGTGTTCGATGACACCATGACACCGTACTGGAAGATGGCGGAGATCGTGCAACTCCAATTGGAGCAGGACAGTGGCAAAACAATTCATATGGACGGCAAATCAATGATCGATTATAACAGAGCAGGTATTTCGGATAAGGGTTCCATGCGGCGGCCGTGAAAAAAATTGGGTCAGAATAACGCGTCCACAAAGAAAGGATAATAATCAGCAGTAATGCATTATTTGAGCGTGCTTTCTCCCACTTTAATAGCATTTATGATCAACGCAGATAAAATTTGGAGCCGTTTATATTCGAAAAATTAGTGATTTATTATTTGAACATTAATAAAATGAAAAAATGTTTCTATATATTTACTTTCTTCGCACTGTATTGTTGAAAAATGACAAATGTATCCAGGTGTCGTGTTTTGTACGCAATGCTAAGAGACAGTTACCGTAATCCTCGCAGCGATTTTTTTTGCTCAAATTTTAGTATTTTCTTTCGAAATTGTTTTTTTAACTGTAGAACCCGAATTTATTTCAGAATATGCACTTTTTAAATGATATTTATCGATATTTTTTGTCGCTCTAAAAATTATTTCGAATTGAAGAATACAAAAAACAAGATAGTAGAAACGCGTATTAAAAGCAAAACCGAATAAATAATTTTATTAACGACAAAAAAAAGTTTTTTTTTTTTAAATCTATGCTGTTTTTACCAAAAACTGTCGTATAAAAGTGCATATCTGCAAAATAAATAATTAAATTCGGGTTCCACAGATTAAAATTGAAGAAAATGCGAAAAATGAGGGAAAAAACTAAAAAAAAAATGAAAATAACAAATTTTTAAAAAAATTCCCTCGTAAATCGATACGAGGATTACGGTAACTGGCTCATCGCATTGCGTACAAAACGCAGGATCCCACGACACTTGGATACATTTGCCATTTCTACTGTGAATGAACTTGTATGTATGGCAGCGAGCTTTTCACTGCGGGACAGACAGCGTGGGAGATCAAATTTTTGCCCCGCATGGAAACCCCAATTTCGGATAAAATGTTGCAAAGAGAATTGACGAATATCGTAGGTTGTGCTCTCGTCGAAGTCGTCACTTCGCCATGCTTTTCAACGGCTCTCGAAGCGATTTGTTTTGTGCAACATTTGCGGCTCATTTTGAAGCATTACGGGATTTGCGAAGGAGAATTGCACAGTACAAATGCGAATTAATCGAAACGATTTTTCAAAATTGAATATTTCAGAGGGAAATATTCGAGTCGACGCCAACGTCTCATTGTCGTTTGATAGGAATGAAGGAGTTCGCACCGAGGTTTTGAAATTGAAAAGACAAAAACAAATGAAACGAAATTTTTAGATCAAAAATATGAATAGTATTCGGTGTATTCACACGGCTATCAATTATGAGATATCGAGGCAATTCGAGGTACTTTCGATGGGCGGAAGAGTTTTGAATGAAACTAGAGGAACTGATAGCGAAGGGTAATTCAATATTTTCAATTTTGAAAACGCTTTTGTAATGATTTTTTTTTGTTTTTTACTACTGCCAAGTAGGGGATATTATTGTGGACGGTCCGAATTACAGAGGGCGCTCAAAATTTCATCGCCATGAGGCAATCATTTTCGATTTTTTTTTTTGCGCTTCGAAAACTACAGTATTCATTAAAGGCGCATGGGAGCGAATTTTGAGAAATTCGAATTGCGCGGGCTTTAATTGGTCCCGAAAAGCAACATCGGCGACACTTGTGCTCAGTGTATCTACCCGGGACAGGATTTCCCGGGATCCCGGGAATTTCGTTTCCCGGGAAACCCGGGACAATCCCGGGAAAAAGTCTGCAAACACCGCGCGCGCAAACGCACACTCTTCGAATATTGCGTATTCTCGTTTTTTTTTAAATGAATTTTCTTATTTTAAAAAGATTCCAATTCTTAGAAAATGGAATAGGAAGTCCCTATTTGGAATTTTCAAAATTTCGCAGAAAAATGAGCACAATTGCAATGTGCAAATAACGATTTTTCCAAAAACGCCATTTTCTAAGCATTGGAATCTTTTTAAAATAAGAAAATTCATTAAAAACGACAATACGCAATATTCGAAGAGTGTGCGTTTGCGCGCGCGGTGTTTGCAGACTTTTTCCCGGGATTGTCCCGGGAATTTCCCGGGAACCCGGCCATTCCCGGGAAATTTCGTCCCGGGTAGACACACTGCTTGTGCTGTACTTCAAATTCATAAAAAATTATGCTCTTTCATATTATGATAATCAGAATACGTAAAAATCGCTCTTTTCCATACGATACCCAATTCGGCAATTCAAACAATTAAGCAATCGCTCTGCAAATTAGGTTACGGTAAGTTTGAATAATTCAAATTGTTGAAATTCGGCCGTCTAGGGTAATTTGAAATTTTCAAATTTTTTCATAAAAATGCCGAATTTTATTTGCTGAAAAATGTATTAATTGAGAATTTCAGTTTTTTGCATTTTTTTTTTGGAATTTTGCAGACGAACGGTTCAAATGCGAGATAAAGAGGAGGAGACTGACTATCGATACATGAAGGAGCCGAATTTGCCAATGCTTGTGGTAAAAACAGAAATTCGATTTTATTTTCGCATTTATTAAATTGTCTTTTTTTTTTTCAATTCAGATTAATAATGAATGGAGGGAAGTATGTGCAGATGAGATTCAAAAAATGCCGAAACCCGAATTCGAAATATTCCGAGATGACGTTGGATTTGATGCGAGAACTGCTGTTCATTTGGCGGTTTGAATTTTCAAATGGTCTCTCAAAAAAAAAAACTTTGATCGTTTTGGGATGACGAAGCTCTTTCGGGATTCGTCAAGCGATGCCTTGATGCGATGCGGAATGGTCAGAAGGTTGAAGCTGCGGATATTTTGTATTGGATGAAAGAGCTGAAGACGATAATGCAGAGGTCGAAGCTCAATTATCCGCCGCCAGGGTAGTTTGATTTTGAAATACTCCAACAAATATTTCAAGGCGATTCTTCGCTTCGCAATTCGTTTCCCTTATTCGATTCTACAATAGTGAGAAGCTTACGCGTCTTCGAATGCTGGATCTTTTAAGGACATACTCATGTACCGACGAGAATCGCGACGTCACACAGGTCAGCAATAGTTGTTTTTTCTTTCGAATTCATTCGAATTCCAGTTGATCGAATCGGGCGATTATTGGAAAATTGGTGACAAATCGGAAATTGAGCGGATTGTTGACGGGTTTTTGCGAAAAAATGAGAAGCTTTTAGCGAAATGCCGAAATGGTAACGATTTTGTTCTTGTTTGATATTTCATTGGTTGCGATTTATTGAAGGACACGCGAAAAGCTTTAACAAGCTTCGAAACGAGATAATCGACAAAACTGACAAGAAAATTGAAGTTGGAGATATTGAAAATGCGATGAAGATGATTATAAAATCATAAAAAATTCCATAAAAGATAATTTCTCATTGCGGACAATGCATTTTATTTGACGAAAATACACATGTTATTTATTGTCGCCGTCGAGCGACCTAACTGTGGCGTGAAATTCAAAATCTACGAATTTGAACATTTGCGCGCTGGCTAAATATTAAATGCGCGTATGCTAAAATGCAAAGTACGCAAACACGTACATGTCTATATGCCTCGAAGCGCCTGGGAAATTGCCAATTTTTTTTAAATTTTGTTCAATCGTTTAAAAACAACAATAGTTCGCGATCGATTTTCTCCGCGACGAATAAGCGTAGAATGTTTTTTTTTTAATTATTATTTATTTTCTATCATATATTTATTATTTTAATGTTAAATCTTTTAACTATTATTGTTCATCGTCTGAAAAGGGCAAAAATTGTTTTAAAATGGATGAGATACTTCTACAATCTGAATTATTTTTCATCTACTTTGAATTCATTTTTTGTCATTTTCCCAGTTGCAGCGGCCATGTTTGAATCGCCACCGATGTTTTTAGACACGCACGATTGTGTGTGGCGTATCCCGCGAAATGTCCGAAGTTTTATAATTCCCATTCAGCACATGTGTAGGAATCGATGCTGGCACATGACAAGCTGAAAAGACGGGCCTACATGTTAGGATTCTGTCAAACGTCTCAATTCCCTGGCCATTGTGTTATAGAGGGCCTCTATTTCTAGAATACAGTATAAAATGCTACATATTTCGAATTGAAAAAGTTGGTTCGGGTCAACCTTTTTATGGCAAAATTTTAGGAACCCCAGGAAGCCATCCTGTGCAACGCGCCCTACTTTGATGTGAATATGTGCCTTTAAAATTTTTTCAAACAATTTTAATATTGCTGTTTAGAATTCTTTTCGAGACCATCCTAAAAGGCGGAATCCACAAGAATATTCGCACGTTTCATATCAAACAAATTCCAATAAAAAAACCGCCCATCAAGTCGCATAAATAAATTTTTATTCTCATTCTTGTCTTATTATCATGATACACCAAAAAAAGAAAGGAAAAGCAAGCAATAGAAACTCCAAGAAAAAAAGTTCGCAATAAATATCACAAGTCGGCAAATAATATTTGGATGGGGGTTGATTCGATACATTTTTGCAGGAGGAGGACAGACATGGGACGAGCTAGAAACATTGCACATTTTGCGAGACAGAGAGAGAGAGAGAGATTTTTGTAATTCTGAAATGAAAGAAAAAGAACAAAAGATAAAACCAAAGACGAAAAAAAATTGGATATTCACCGTCGCTGACTTTGTGACTAAATTTGGTAAACGAGAAGAAAAAAAAGAATGTGGATGGGGTGGAATAAATTAATTGGCAAGACTATTATTAAAGCAGGAGAAGAAAAAAACAAGAATAGTGTAAAAATTTCCAAAAAAGAAACACAAATGCAAAAAAATATGGAAAAGCTTCAGGCGTTTCAAACTTCAAATGCGCTTCTTCTATATGACCTAAACAATTCGAACAATTTCCACTCGTAATTTCACAATTTTCTTTTTTTTCTCATTTTTTTTGTTTTAGCAATTATTTACAATTTTAATCTCAAATTACAATATATTGGCGACCAACATTTTGTTGAATCGAAGGAGAAGTTGACGCTCCAAATGATCCGAATGCTCCGAGATCAAATTCGAGTTGAACTGCGCGTACGGCGACGGATTCTGCGTGTACGTCATCACACGATCCGCTGTCAACGTGAAAATCGGAATCGACAGCAACTCGGACGCGTAATCGGACAAGTCGATGCATTTCGCCGAACACGATTTCCAATATGCCAATGGCGCTTGCATTGGATTTCCGAACGTGCGGAAGATCGGATTGAACAGACTCTCGACGGGCTTCTGCAATCAGCTTAGACTTCAAGAATGCCAACAACACCCCCCTTCCCCCATTTGGCCATGGAAATGCTCGAAATTTTTTTGGCGATTCAAAAATCTAATCGCCTTATCGCTCGCGCTCTCATCCAACGATAATCCGCGTTTCAACACAACACATTTTGCTTTTCGACAACCTACCGTATGCGTGATTTCTTCGAAATACTGCTCAACAATTTCGTCGCCATTCTCATCGCCATCCTTCTGCAAAAAAAAAACAAACAAATCGTTGCCAAATTTGCATATGCAAAAAGTGGTACCTTGTTCATTGTCTGAAACAAATCGCCATAAATCGACAACGCGTCGCGTCCGTCGTTGCCCGATTTGATGACATTCGCCAATATCGAATCGACCCCGATCGCCAACTTTTTGCCGCTGTTCTCGCGCCATTTCGTGCGCTTCGACACTTCTTGTCGAATCAGTTTTTTCGCCGCCGCCAATTGATCCGAATTCAAATGGACGGCGAGTTGCGGATTCAACGCGGTTGCCTGCAATTTCGCCACGATTCGATTAATCTGATCTTTCAATCTTCTCCATAATAATCATAGAGAATGATAATAAGCCGGACCTGCAAGTAGATCGGATCAAAATCCGGATGTTCGGGATTCGTGATAAATTCGAGCTTCTGCTCGATAATCGCCTTCAATTCGTCGCCCATTTCGCCAAGCTGGTGAACATCCTGAAATACGCCAAAATGCTACGCACACCGCATTTTTTGAATCACACACCTTCTCCAAACCGCTGAGAAGCTGTTGAATCGTGGGAATCACGGTGTCGATCGTTGTCATATCGCTCGAATAGCCAACAAACGGCTTGAACATGTTGCAGATGCCATGGATTCCATTCAATTTGCGCCTGAAGACGAACAAAAATTTAGAGGTCGCGCAATGCGATGTTTTGATCTACCAATGAACATCCGTTAATGCGGTGAATCCTTCGATTTGATTCAATTTGAAGCATTCGCGCATATTCAGAACACTTTCGACGAGAATTGGAAACGGCTCAGTAATCGGAAAATCGAATTTCCCGCCTAAAAACCGAAAATTCGACATTGACAACAACAAAATAGAAGCCCCCGCCCCCCCCCCCCACCCCAAAAAAAATTACCATTCAATTTGGTAACAATTTGGAATGCGACTTGATTGGCGATCACCGAGAACACCATCGTGAATAGGTCTTTCTTGACTGAATCCACGTGTGCACTATGATCGAGCCATTCAAACAGGCAACCGAGGAGAAGAGTCGCAAACGACGAAATCCTCTTGTCGGCAATCTTGAACTTTTCTTCCGTCAATGTCTTGACATTCGAGCACACAATTCGATTGATCGTTTCGCTCGGAATGCTATAGTCGGAGATAACCTACAATGAAATCATCATTCAGCTCAGAGTTCAACGTTTTTTTCTATCCGTTTGTAAAGCTTATTAAGTCTAAATAAAGAATGTCGGATTTCAAGGTCAAAGTCCATTTTGAATTTTCAGATGGCCATAAATCGTTGGCATACTGAAATTTTGGGGACACACTCAGAAGACCTTCTATGTAGTCCACGTACATATTCAATTTCAGGAACGTTAGCAAAATTGACCTCCATTGTTAGAAATAAAGTTTCCTAGAAAATTCAACGGACCATTGAAATTTTCAACCGCCCCCCCCCCTCTCTTCTTTTCGTGCTATGATGCAATGCTCAGCGTCCTGTTAAAACTGCTACGATGACAAATTATTAATACTATTAAAGATAATCACACGGAATATCGACGTGCGTCACCACACGCCATATTGTGATTAGCGTCGAGTTCCACTATGAACACTACTACGTGAGCAGATTTACTAGTATGAATTGGTTACCTGTTCGATGGCCTTGGAAATATCATCGACGGCGGTGTCCGAGTTGGTGAGATTCTTGATGGCGAGCAGCACGACCTGCGTTTCATACGAGTTTCCCGAACCCGCCGGAATCGCGGCGCCAATTGTGATCTTCATCGCGTCGTTCGTCAATTTCGACACATCGACGAGAAGGTTGACTTTTCGCGAGGCGCTGAGCAACGCCTTCAACGATTGATTCAATTTCGAGTTGAGCGTGCTCACAGCGATCTCCAATTGGCTCGTCTCGAACGCCATATTGAATTTCGGTTGTGCGAACTCGAACAACTCCTTCCACGCGGGATTCTGAAGAACGTCGAGCGGAATGTGCGAGGTGGCCAACGCCAACGCCAAACGCGTCTGAATGTCCTTCTGCTTCTTCTCATCGAGTCGCCATTTCTTCGACGGCACAATCTGGCCGTTCGGATTCAGTGAGAGGCCGGCGTGTTGAAGCGCGTTGAGACCATTGGACGACGTCGGCAAAGAGTGCGCCAACATCATCTGAAGCGGATTCATGCCCATCATCATGTTCTGCATCAACGCCGGCATTGTGGGAAGAGCGCCCGGCGAAGAAACGGCCGGCGTGTGATTCACCGGTACCGGCTTACCAGCCAGAAGCATACTGAAACAATGAGCAATTGAATTCTGAATCGTTGCTGGAGTGCTTACTTCACTTCACTTGAGACACGAGGGGTGTCCTTCTTCACCTTCGCTGGCTTCGGTATTGAAGACATATCGCTGTCTGGCGAACGAGACATGAACTCGCGTGTGTTCTCGTGTGACTGAAATCGAAAATTCAGAATCCCTACTGAATTGTGTGAACAAAACCTTTGGCTGCTGCTGCTGCATCTCGATTTTGCTTCGCGAGTACTCGGTTTTGAGCTTCTGAAACTCGGCGTACTCCTTGGTGTGCTTCTTCAAATGACACGCCAACGTCGACGTGTGTGGTCCTTTGAGCATGTAGGTGCAATCGCCGACGATGCATCTAAAAACATTGTCGGTGTCGACATACGACCATCAAAAATTCACCTGCTCAGATTCTCGGCTTTATTATAGACGAAATACTTCCAGACGGGCGTCTGCTTGTTCGTGCCGCCGCTGCGAATCGACGCCGCCGGATTGCGGTGCCAGCTCCAGTCGTCCTGCAACGAGTTGAGACACTGCAGACGTGAATTGATTCAAGAATTTCGGGGTTTTTTTCGATGACAAATAAAATTGGACAGCCCAATTTTCGTCAAATCTTCGTCGAATTGTTTGGCTTACCTCGGCGAAAAGCTGAGCTGCTGGCGATTGTGCGACGGCTACAGCTCCAGGAATCGTCTGCGCCTGAGGTGAAGCTGATTTCGAGAGAATTGATGGACGTGAAATTGAATCATCGAACTGGAATAATTTATAATAAAAGCGTTTAAAACGGAATTGGAATCTAAAAAAAAAGAAACCTTCGCAAAAACATTATTAAGCATTGATTTGCTGAACATGTCGAGTAAATCACAAGACGCCCCATTTGTCGTGGATCCTGCCACTGTGCTGCCTTCCGATTCATCATTTATCAACTCGTTGTACGATTCTTCTTTGACGGGACTCTCGGAGACAATACTACCATTTGATGAGCGATAACTGAACATTTTATTTGTGACAAAGAAAAATAATCGATCAGAGATGACTTCAATGAAAAAATTTAAATATTAAATTCATTAAATTCAATTTTTTGAATGCAAAAATCCCTACAATGTGAATAAAAACATTTTTAAAAAAAATAGTGTGCCGCACATTTGCAAAAAAACCGCGCCGAAAAATATTTAAACGAACAATTGAAAATTTTTTTTTCGATTTGTTCTTCGATGAAAACGATTTCTTAATTTTTTCCTGTTTCTAAAAATTTGAAAAACTCCTTTCTTGTCATAGTTTTAGGTGCACAACCTGATTGTTGCCCTCCCAAAAATTTTTGTTTATCTTGTCTTTCTTCGATATTAAATCCTGTTTTTCAAAAAGTCGAGGGATCAGGGAAAATAATTTTCGACTAGTTCGATGGTGATTAACATGGGAGAATCTTGTAAAAATTTTCGCGGTTTTGCCGCGTTCGCCCAAAATTCGAATTTGGCGGGAATTTCAATTTCTGAAGGTAAAACGCAATTGAAGAATTGTTCGTATAGGCACGAAAACAAAAATCAAACTTGAATTAAATATTTTTAATTCAATTTTCCAAATTTTTATCTAAAATTTAAAGCGTAACCTTCTTATGGCCTAAATGTATTTTTTTTTCATTGGAAATCGCGTTAAATTTACTTTTCTCGGCATAAGTCTACTATTCTGTGATTTCGCATTGTTCATATACGCAAGTAGGGCATCTTTCGGTCTGGTCTAGACATGAAAAGAAGATTTTGTAATTCTGTCGATGATTTTGATAATAAATCCTTGCAATTCGAACGTCATCAAACTTAAAAGAAAGTATCCCAATGGATAGTTTATTTCAAACCGCCAGTGAATCCGCGCGAGACCTCAGAGCCCGTAAATCTACCCAGTCCCCCGTCTCCAACAAAATAGAAAATCGCTCAAAAACTTTAGAATTTTTGCCATAATATTTCGCATATGTTTCTAATACGATAATCAGCTATAAGTTGGGTATTTTCGCTGTTGAAAACGTTGCCTCCTTTCTCGAAAATTTGCGAGCGAATTTCAAATGAATCAAAAAATTATGAATAATAGTAATAATCATAATGATAATCATCATCATTCGAAATGTGAAACCGATTATCCGAATAGGCTATTCGAAATGCCAAACGATTGTCGAAATATTGAATTAAATTAATTAAATTGTTGATTGTATTGAAAATTAGGTGACGATTTTAATCGGCTAAATTCGTATAGCCGTGCGGTTTTGAATTTTAAGCAATTCTAGGGCTCATTTGAAACGGGCTATAAATCTTAGAATCATTTAATAACCTGGCTGAAGATGGTGCCGCCGGTGATTGGCCTTCGGTCGAAGCTTCACCGGCCAACGGGGTCGTTGAAGCGCACGCTGTTGAGACACTTGGAGCATCGAGAACAACCTAAAACAATTGCTCAATTTTATTGGCGAAGAAAAAATGAAATGGCAAATTTAATTTTCTAAATTAATTTTGAATCGAAGATTTGAATGAATTGCTACAGTAGCAGTCCGAAATCCCCCCTTTTAATCCATGCTTATTCGAATTTTCTTTTTTTTTTTGAATTAAATACAAAAGTGAATCAAGCTGCTCATTTGGTTTATGGGCGACGGCGAATTTATGTCGAAACTCGGCGAGACAAAAAAATTTTGAATTGGGTTTGAAGCAATCCGCCGTTTTCAATATTTCATTGAAAACTACTGCTACCGTAACTCTCTTTTTGGGACCCGTTCGCCTTGTGCACCATTCGTTCGTTTCATAGAGAGATACAAGACCAAAAAAAATAGTAATAAAAGGCGTACCTGTGTTGGTAGATCAATACGAAACCGCTTCGCCTCGGGCGGACCGTCGATGTCGATACTGCTCATTCTATCGCATTCACCGCCTACAAAGAGGGCAAAAATGAAATCGAGTGGGAAAAATCGAATAAATGATCAGACGGTTGGTATGCCGCGCCAGGAGGGGGGGGGAGGGGAAGGGGGCGAGGAAATGAACAGGCGCGGGGAGGAACAAATGAGGTGATTTCTCGACCGTTCTACTGCGTGCTTCTTGTATATTAACGAGGTGCGAAACCGTCATGTTTTGTTTGTTTTACAAGTCGTCCCTTCAATAATGTGAATTTTTGACGACGACGACGGCGGCGGCGGCGGACACACTCACTACTACTGTTTATGGACAATCGGCCGAGTGCGCTCTTCGTCAAAAATGTTCTTTCCATCATTTTCATGTCAATCCATGAAATGCGGACATGCTTGCGGGTCGCCGACAAAATCTGTGTGGGGGGTCCCCAGAAGAGTACAACAGTACGATTAAGTTTGCTGGCCGGAGAAAGACAACCTTCAATTTTTTATGAACAAATGTTTCCCACCAGTCGGAACGAACCGGCAAAAGCGCAAAAAGACAATAAAATTGCGAAAAAGAAAAAGGCAACAATGCGTTTTTTTTTCCATCTTCGATACTTTTTCGTGTGTATTTCACTTTTTTTGTGGGCGTTTGGCACACATTGAATTTTATGGTCACCGGGCACACACACCACCTTTAATCGATATAGCTAGCCAGATTACTGTCGGGGGATTGTTCAAATAATTGAGTTGGAATGCTTCCCCCCAAATATGGGACTGTTGGCGGCCAGGGGAGGGTGAGCGACAAATATGGTAAAAATCGAGGTAAAATTCGATTTTTGCCGGCAGCCGATGCCTCGAATTTATTGGCACAGTTGGCGCGAAATCAAACAAAAATGGGGACATTTCGGCGAGGTTGGAAAAAAATTGGCGATCAGCCCCCAAAACCGTATAGAAATGTACCGGAAAATTGGTGTTGTTGTGGCGTAGGCGGCTGTTGGTGATATCTGGCGATCGGTCGATGGATTCGATGCATTTCGGCGTTTCGTTGGGGGGGAAGCAGCGGGGAACGTGGGGGGGAGGAGGGGATGTGGAAAAACAGCAAAAAACCGCAATTTGCACCTTACCGTAATCAGTGTTGAGGAATGGAAAAAGTGTTTTGTTTTGCGACTAGCTGGAGGAGAGGAGGAGGAGCTCGAAGGTTGAATGTTGTGCTCTGCTAGTGGCTCTCTCAATCTCTTGCTCGCGCGCGCGCGCACGAGGCTGCTTATCGCGCGCGGCCCACCATCCCCCCCTTTAAGCCGGCTTCGTGTCTTAAAATTTCAACACAATATCCACTCTCGCTGATTGTTTTTCGCGGCGTTGCTAGGCATTTTGCAACATCGAAACACGGTATCTTTCGACCCCCCCCCCGGCCATTTTTGAAAAATGCATATATGTAGGATCCGATTAGTTCGGGCTTTTTTGGGGTCAAGATGTGAGAATATATAATCCAGATTTGTCAGACCAAACATATCGAAAAAAAAAATTTTGGATAAAATTTTTTTTGCTAAAAATTCAAACCAGGTTGATTGTCCGCAGCAGGGTTATTTGAAGAGTAAATCAATTCCTCTGTTTTCTTTTATTTAAAAGACGTTTCCTATCCTTCAAAATTTTCTCAAAATTGTTCATTCCTCTAAAATCAATCACCATTTCTGGAATTTGACGAAAAAAAAAAATGAAAAAATTGAGACAAGAATGGATTCAGCTCGAAAATTTCCAAAATAAATTATTTTTCGCGACGAGATATCGCGCAAAAATAAATCTTTTTCATGCGCCTTTAAAATCGCAAAAAAAAAGAAGAAGAAGAACGATGTGATAAAATAAAGGCGGAAAGGTTCACAAAAAAATGGGAACTCAAAAACGAGTGTGTGTGTGAGTGTGTGTGACGCGAAATTGCACCCAATTGCCCGTCTACAGTAATAAAAACAGTGCGAGCACAAATGAGGGGTAATTGGTGTCTTTGGTACCGTCTTAATACAAACATATAAATATATATGTATAGTTAGTTGGCATAGTTAGCTATGTGTATCGGATACTAACTCGTAACTGCGTTCGCGCGAAAAACAGATCTCTATCTTTGTGACACACATTTTAATTTTGTCTTCCACACTCAATGTTAATTTTCACTATCTGCCGACAATTGCCGGGTTTGCCCCCCCCCCGCCAATGTTGTCCGGGCGCGTCGCGGTTCGCGTTGCGGTCATTTCGTGTTGGTGTTTTTTTTTTTTTTTGTTTTTTTTCCGGGCGCGTCGCGGTTCGCGTTGCGGTCATTTCGTGTTGGTGTTTTTTTTTCCAAAAAACTCGAAGAAATATCGCCGATTGATAAGAAACCGCAACGCGAACCGCAACGCGTACCAAAATTCTTGAAGAAGAAAAAAAATGAGTTTCGACACGATTTGCCCACAGTTGTAATGCGAAAATTGGCGAGTTAGGAACCCCCCGCTTCCCAACGACGACGACGACGACGACGACCTAACCGTTTTGCTCGAAACCATATGTCAGGAGCAGCGAGCAACAAAAAAAAACAAGAAATGAGCACGACGGCGACGACGACAACTCGGACGAGACGGAGAATCGCCGCCTTTCAAATTCCACTTATTAGCAATTTGTCGGCCAACAATAGAGCACAAATTCCGGCTTCCACTTCAAAATTGAAAGAGATTTGGGTTTGAACTTTATTTTGAGCATTCATCAAAACACGATGAAGCTTTAAAGGCGCATGGGTAGCTCACAACTTGATGTGTAGATCAAAATGCCTTCAAACAGCGCCTCTATATATTTTTGACAAATTTTGAATAATTTTGGCGTAAATTGAAATGCAAGTCCGTAGCGATCGTACGCGGTGATTGCACAACATTCGGAATAGTGTAGGACTTGAATTTCAAAAAAATTGAATCTTTATTATTATTTTTTTTTGAAATACCCCCCAAATCGCAATTTTTCATGATCTACCCCGAGTTTGGCATTAGAGCGCACTTTCTGACAAGAAAAAAAAACCGAAAATGAGTCCAATCAAAAAAAAAACCAGTAATCAACATACCGTATATAATTGTGTGATCTACGTGCCCGAATTGCTGGTTCGATTCTGAAAATTGAATTTTGGCAACACGCAAAAAAAAAAACGAAATGAGAAAAAAATGAGGAAGAGCAAAAAAAAGGAGAAGAAGAAGAAAGGGTCCCCTGGAGATTTTTGTGTGACCTACAACAAATATATATCGGAATTTATGAAATTAAAAGATTGCCGAGACGGACCCCGCACGATTTATGGCCCTTCTCGCGTTGCAACACATTTCTTTTTCTTTTTTTTCATTTCCGTTTTGTTGCTCAATTTTCTTTGAGCCCCCCCTCTCAAAAAAAAAATTAATGTCTACAGTAGGTTGTTCTGCGCGAGACCACACTCTACCGTAACCGACACACCCGAAAATGGTAGTAAAAATTCGCGGCTAGTTGGACGCATCGAAACGCCGGAAATCGCTGCGCGTTTGTTCGGAATTCTCGAAGGCCTTGCCAAATTTTATGATGGATTATGTCGTTTTTGATGGGTAACAAGTCAGGCACCTGAGGATGAGTGCTGCTCATCGATGGCCCCAAAGGGATCATTCATCGCTTTGCGCGCGCCTTCCCCTCCCCTCCCCTCCTCTCCCCTAAAAGGCCCCAGCGATGCTGAATGATTGATGGCCTAGATTCGTTATATCCTATGACAACTGCCGGCGCGATAACGGCGCCCAACAACAATTACCGTATACCCCGATATGTGTTTCAAATTGTCCGCAGATGGAAAATATGAAATTTGAAAGTGTATCGATGAAGGTGGACCGACCGAACCGGGGGTATTTGTGTGTGCGCACGCGAAATACCAGTAAAATGGCGATGACCAATACCATATATGGTTAAGGGCCTGAGTAAACAGTTCAACTCAAAAAGCCATGCTTTATTATATCATATAATATATATATATTTGTATGATATTTGACCAGTTGACGGTTTTCACTAAATTTTCACCGAGGTTGGGGTTGGGGTTGAAGAAAAAAGTGGGCGGGGCTTAATGGGCCTCACAATTTTGATTTTTTTTGCCAGCTCGACACCTTTCAACCTTCTAACCCGCTTATTTTCTTGAGTCGAAAAATTTGATTTAAAAGATCATCGAAAATTTTTTTTTCATTTCTAAAGCAACAGATTATGAAACGAACCTTCTAGAAGATGAGATCCACAAAAAAATGGAGATGAGAAAAAAAATTGAGTGCTGACAATGATTCATCAAACAGTGTTGGTCGAAAAAAATCGTTTCTCTGCGTCTCTCGCAACTCGCGTGCTCTCTCGCCACCCCGCCGCTACCAAAATGTCTCATAATTAAAAAAAATCGAAGGGTCGAAGCGAAAAGAGGTTATCAAAATGAACCGCAGCGACACGAAACCGTACGAAACGGATTGGGGTTCGCCAGCCGGCCTAGGGACCATTTTAAACATAAACGAATGCCCTCCAATGTTTATTTCAATTCTATATAAATTGTTTTGACGATTTGGGGGTCCGATTTTGAAACAAAACAGAAATGCGATTAAAAACTTTTTTCAATGGTCCCGCGACGAAAAAAAAAACAATTAGGGTTTCGGGAGGACCCGTTTTCGACAAAATCGAGTGTAAACCGGAAAAAAATGGAAATTTGCCGTTAATTTCTAAGAAAAATTGAAGTAATCGTGTCAAGACCTCATAATGTGCTTTTCGTCATTTTTTCTGCTTGAAAAAAAAAGTGAATCAACGAAAATTGCTGGCCAAAAATCCCCGATTTTCGGGAATCTCGTGTCTCAAAAAAATTGCGTCTTCTTCGCGTCGAGACCCAACCAAATCACTTACTAGATATTCGCGTCGAGACCCAACCAAATCACTTACTAGATATTCGCGTCGAGACCCAACCAAATCACTTACTAGATATTCGCGCCGAGACCCAACCAAATCACTTACTAGATATTCGCGTCGAGACCCAATCG